ATTTTGACTTTTTATTTCAAATAGGTTATAAACTAAGTGACATTTTCTTTATAAAGGGTGGGCCATGTTTATGTTGAATTATAAAATAGCAATGACAACAAGAAAAACTGATTTTTTTTCAACGAATTTTGCTTTATTTGATACAATGTTTCTTTCGATTAAGTATGGAAAATTATTTTATTTAAGTGGCCACCTCAGCTGGCTCGACAGTAGCCCATCCTGGAACACCAATTTTCGAGTACTTTGTCAAAAGTTTGCAGCTCTATTTAGGCAATTTGAGCTTGAATGTTTTGTTTTAAATGGTGAATAGGCTTTGTTACGGCGACGTGTGGATTTTCCGTGTCCCAAATCCTACAGTTTTGCTTGTTGACATAACCTCCGAGGTAAAAATGCGCCTTATCCGAAAAGATGATTTTTCTTGCAAAATTAGGGTCATCGTTCAACTGGTTTAAAGCCCACTCAGCAAAGCGAAAACGTTGTGGATGGTCAACTTGCTTTAACTCCTGAACAAGCTGGACTTTGTACTCAAACATACCGAGGTCTTTGTGCAGAATCATCCTCAGAGTGGTACGGGAAAGGCCGAGTTGTTGACATCTGCGCCGAGTTGATGTTGACGCGTTCGTGCGTACATTTTCGGCCACAGCAGCGATTTCTTCAGGTGTACGTCTAGGACGAGCATGCGAAACTTGTTTTATGTCCACGAGCATTCCATTTATGCGCAATTTTTTGATCAAATTTGTAATACTTTGGTTTGACGGCGCCTCATTTCTTCCAAACGCAATTTTCTTGCCGTCTCTGCGATCACAGTCACATTCAAAGTAAGTTTTGAGTATTTCGAAACGTTGGTCCAAATTTATTCGGTGCATATTTTGTAATCGGAAGGTTAAAACTAAACCACTGTCAGCAACATAGATAAGGGATTGGTTGGGTGGGCGGGGGGTCAGCAATTCATGGCGCTCAAGTTGAAAGCTTCATTAATAGCACGTAGTTTAAAATTCAACTTATAGATGGCCCACCCTTTACATGTTATTTTGACTTTTTATTTTAAATAGGTTATAAATGAGGTTATAAACTAACAGCAACAAAATCGCGTACATTTTTAATATTAAATAACCCAGTTGTCACAAATATGAATAAAAATTAAAAATATATATTGCTCTAACTTATTCTATGGCTCAAACTAGACCTAATATTTTGTTCCATTAGCTTAAAAAACATAATTGAGTCTTGTGGGCATAGAATTAATTAGTGTACGAAAATAGTTTTCGTTTTCTCTGAGCTCCTCCCAACCATCTTCAATAGCCATCCATAGTTCTTCTTCATTTCTTGGCCTAAAGTTTCGGTTATAAATTTTTTTCACTAGCAAACCCCAAACGTTTTTAATTGGGTTTAGATCTGGACTATAAGAAGGCCACGGTAATAGTTCAATATTATTAGCTCCGAACCATTGTGTTATTAAACTGTATTATTTGACTTGTATATACAACAAGTAAGTAAAACAAGAATTTAATCTTGCAATTTAAAACTAAAATTTGCTCACTTTTCAGGGCTAGCCCTGATGATGTCACTAGACAAGTGACGAAAGCGCTTGGCTACTCATTTTATTAATAAATATACCTATATACAAAACACACCCCCTTTTTATTAACACTCATGGTATATACCATGAGTGTTAATAAAAAGGGGGTGTGTTTTGTATATAGGTATATTTATTAATAAAATGAGTAGCCAAGCGCTTTCGTCACTTGTCTAGTGACATCATCAGGGCTAGCCCTGAAAAGTGAGCAAATTTTAGTTTTAAATTGCAAGATTAAATTCTTGTTTTACTTACTTGTTATTATTCTTGCTGTATGGACAGGGCAGTTGTCCTGTTGGTAGATGAAGTTGTTGTTGGGGTATAATTGCTCCACTGAAGGAGGCATAACATTTTCCAAAATATCCCTGTAAACCTGCACATTGAGTCTACCAACCAAATGCCATGCTACACCAGGTCCATGCACGCTTATCCATGCCCAAACATTAACTGAGAATCGTCCGGACCTGTTCCGTGGAGACACGTATTTTTCATGAAACCTAGAATTTGCAGGTCGATATACACGAATATGTCCGTCATTACTAGACTGGAAAACTTTTTTGTCAGTAAATACAACATTATTTCAAGAATATAAGGCATAATTTAAGCAAAACAAGATCCGGGCTTGCTTTTGTTCTTCTGTTAGGATGCTCTTCTTGGCACTTGCCCAATTCTTGATATCCGAGTTTCCTATTCTCCGGCATGCTGTTGACCACGACGCTGGAAAGTTAGTTTCGAACACGGCATCTCTTGCGGTTTTAAATGGATTTTCCCTTAAATAGGCAATAAGCGCTTCATCCTGATCGACATTAGATTTTCTCGAGCGGCCCGAACCATCTTTTCTGCATACGCTTTCTTCCTCCATCCACCTTTTCTTCACCCTCATTATGGTACTTTTATTAACATCGTAATGGTTCGCAACTGCCCTGATGGACCATCCTTCTTCCAACTTCGAGAGGATTAAAATTTTCTGGCGTTCATTTAATTTTGCCATTGTGATAATATGACACTGACACTGACAAATAAATAAACATCAATTTTAAAAGTCAAAATTTAAAAAAAGACACATTTACACAGCTTATTATTTGCGACAATAGTTAACTGAAGTGTACGCGATTTTGTTGCAAGCAAGTGTACATGTAAGTACATGACATTGTAGTTCCAATTGACACGTCTCACAACAGATTTATACTTAAGCAGAAAATTAAGAAACAAAATAACTTCTTATTTTCATTTTTTCAACGCATATTTTGTCACTTTTAAATAAAACCACCACATATTTGTTAATTTTTTTACTATAAATTGCGTTTTATTATTTTGATTAGTAAGGTTACAAGGTTACATGGTTCCAAGCAAAGATAATACCTTTGGTGTTTTACAATTAATGATAATTAGTCATTTTTAACCAATTTATTTTAAGAGAGTATTGATAATAAAAAAGTTCCTGTACAGATGTGTTTATTATTTTTTATATTGGGCCAAAAAGGAAAAAATACCCGGAAAAAAAATAAGTTTTTGAAACCTTAAGGCAAACTGAATTTTATGATTCCACTGTTTTCATATGGGATTCTACAAATTAGTTCAACTTTTTTGCTAGTGAATAATATTTAATGATAATAACTTATTTCTGTCCTTTCTGCAACAAATTCGTTCAATTGAACAAACACATTTTTCTACTCCCACCTTTAAAACGCTATCGTACAGTTGTATTCATTAAAAAAGCGTACAAGAATTAGAATGAGAGAAAACTGTCAACAATATTGCGTAAAACCGGCTTTCCACTGACTTAAGTCACTATAACTGACAGTAGAAAATAAAAATGCCTCGTCAGTTAAAAAGGCTCAAATAGTATCAAGAATCGAAGAAGAATGGTCAATTCGTACCGTGGTATAATAGAAATAAAAAATCTATATTAAAAATTAACAATTTTTGTAATATTATTTAATTAACCTACGACGTCAATGCTCTTTATAACCTATAGTAATTATTTTAATGACTTATGTCAGTGATAAGCCGGTTTTAAGCAATAATATTATTTTGACAGTTTTCTCTCATTCTAATTCTTGTACGCTTTTTTATTGAATACAACTGTACATGTTTCCATGACACTAAGTAACCTTTTAAATACCCATTGACAAGTTGTGGCTTTACGGCGCTTTAGTCACAGGCTGAAGTTAGCAACAGGTTTTTAGTCACGGGCTGAAGTTAGTTTTAAGTTAGTTGACAGTTGTCAAATGTCATACAATCGTTAAAATAAAGTGCCTTTCTTGTAAAATAATACTAAATGTGAAAATTATTTTATTATCTCAATAAAAAAATATTAAATAGTTTCTCAACGCCATATTTGAAAAGTTTATATGAACATTGTACTCCTTTTAATTTAAATTCGGGCACGGACTCCACTGTAAAGTGCTCATAAAACATTTCCTTTACTTTCACTGTGAAAAACTGTCAATTTTCAAGAAATACATTTCGATTTATAACCTTTATAATTGTGTTTATAAAATGTAAAAATGTGACATTTGACAGTTTCCCCTGTTGTTTCATAGATGGCGCTCTATACAAATTTTTGATTTAAATCATTTTAAGATAATAATAAGTATTTGTCGTAGAAAAAGTATAGTATGCACCTCGTTTATAAACTTTTATATACACTCATTAACTTAAGCACTCGCTCGTGCCTAAATTAAATTCGTGTATAAAATGGCGTTTATCAAACTTGATACATAAGATACACGCATCTAGAAAACCAAACATACATACATACATAATTATATTATAAGGTTTTATAAATATTTAAATAGATTATTTTATAACATGGTTGTAAGTTGTTTAAAAGCGCAGAATCTCTAATATTACAGGTTAACTTACCTATATTTGTACCTATAGAAATATTTGTTAAACGACCGTAAGATATGATAAATTTATAATTAGAGCTGGACTCGAAAATTTTGATAAATGTGATGGAATTTAGTAATAAAAAATATTGGACCTTGCTGTGTTATATTAGACCCCTAATATACGCAGGGTGTTTCTTAAACGATGGCTGATACTGAAAGGATCCTTAAATATTTTTTTCATTTAATGATCATTCTTACCAGGGTAAAACCCATTTTCCATGGGAACTAATATCGTCCCGAACCTCCTTAATTTGTAATTACATTGAAAATCAAAATTAATGAGATCCTCATAACACCTAGACAATTTATCAATTTAATACGGTAATAAAGTGGAAATGGTGAATTAGCAAGCATACTATATTGTAGAAAAGATCATTAGATGGTTAATTTAACTCAATATTATAATGGTCAATACTGAATAATTACTAGATTAAAAAGTAAATAAACACTTTTTGTTTAGCAAAATAATTAAAAAGTTCGTAAATAATATTTTATTTTTATCGTATTCTGCAGATCGTATTATTAAAATGGCACTAACATTTGGAATTCTGACAGTCAGCGACAGATGCTTTAAAGGAGAGAGCAAAGACACATCTGGACCGAGATTGGAACAGGAAATATTAAACAAATTTCCGATGGCAAAAATTGCGGAAAAACATATTGTTCCTGACGAGGTCGAAGAAATAAAAGAGTGCTTAAAACGTTTCGTTTTTCAATCATACAACGTTATTTTAACAACCGGTGGCACAGGATTCTCGCAAAGAGATGTTACTCCAGAAGCAACCAAACAAATTATTGAAAGAGAAGCAAACGGCCTATCCCATGTTATGACTTCCAAAAGTTTGGAAAAAACTCAGTACGCCATGCTTTCCAGGGCTGTATGCGGAATCAAAAACACAACAATTATAATAAATTTACCAGGAAGTGAAAAGGCTGCCGCAGAATGTTTTGGGTTTATTAGCGAATCATTACCTCATGCTGTCAGTGTATTAACCGGTAAGAAATTGGAGGTGGAAAAAGCACACAAAGATGTACAACGCACAAGCAAAGTTAAAATTGATGCTTCCAAAAGAGACCGCCATTCCACCTATCCTATGCTCGAAGTAGATGCCGCTACTGCCTTAGTGTTAAATGAATGCGCTGCTACAAATAAAACAGAAGAAATACTGGTCGAAGAAAGCCTTTATAGAATCCTAGCGAACGATATTTTTGCCAAGGCTCCAGTGCCTCCATTTGAAGCTTCAATTAAAGATGGCTACGCTGTTAGGGCGTCAGACGGCTTAGGTATTAAAAAAGTTCGTTATTACGCAGCCGCTGGGGATACTCCAATCGATTCCACCTTAAAAGAAGGAGAAGTCATTAGAATTAGCACGGGTGCACCCATACCACTTGGTGCAGATGCTGTTGTACAAGTGGAAGATACTAAATTAATTAAAAGTCAGGACGGCGAAGAGCTTGAAATAGAAATAAAAATAAATCCTAAAACTGGTCAGGACATAAGAAAAATTGGCAGCGATGTTGAGAAAGGCGTTCTGGTTATAAAACGATACAATAAAATTTCTGCGGCAGACGTCGGAGTGATGGCAATGTTGGGCTATTCCAAAGTTCATGTTTTTAAACAAGCATCGATAGGAATTTTATCCACGGGTAACGAACTATGCAAAGCTGGAGAACCACTAAAACCTGGCCAAATATATGACAGCAATAAGTTGACTTTAATGAATCTTCTTAAAGAATACCACTATCAAGCTACCGACTATGGCATTGCAAGGGATAACCCCGATGATGTGTATAAGTCCTTTGCAAAGGCCTTCGAGAAAAACGATGTAGTCATCACTTCGGGAGGCGTTTCAATGGGCGAGTTTGATGTCATTAAACAAGTGCTAACGATCGATTTCAATGCAATTATACATTTTGGGCGGATAAACATGAAACCTGGCAAACCAACCACTTTCGCAACGTTGGACTACAACGACAAGAGAAAATACGTCTTCGCATTGCCGGGCAATCCAGTTTCCAGTTGCGTTACATCTATATTATTCGTAATTCCATTTTTGAGAAAAATTGAACGCGCAGAAACCATAAAATATCCATTTGTTCATGTGTCTATACCTGAAATAAAAAATTCTGACGCAAGACCTGAGTACGCAAGGGCGGTTGTTAGTTTTAAAAATGGTATTCTTAGCGCACATACCACAGGATCTCAAGTTAGTAGCAGATTAAACAGTTTGTTGGGAGCAAATGGTTTGATTATTGTGCCAGGGAAAAACTTACAAGATATAAATAACTCAGCTTCACAACCAATTTTTGGGCAAACAACACCAAATATTTTTGGACAATATTCTATTAAACCAATTTCTCAAACATGTTTGTATAAAGTACTTTTGTTTAGTGAGTTAAAATATGTCTAATGTCCAAAGCATGTCTAGTTTTTAAGTTATGTTTATTGAATGTTCTAATAAAAAAATATATAAAATAGTTTTTTATTGTGGCAGTAAGGAACAAGGACTTAAAATGATGTAAACGTTTTTCAATAAATACGAGCCCTAACCACATAATGTTCGGACACTTCATAATTTATACAGAAATTTTTTTCGTGAATACTATCTCAAAATTATTAGAAGTTATGAAAAATTCAGCTTATTTTGGCATATACCCCTCGAAGCGATTTTTATTTTTAAAAAGTTTACCTTTTATTTTTAGCTTTTAAAAAAAGGCTAACTTTTTAACTTTTTTTGCATGAGTAAAAAAAGTTATAAATGGGCCCATTAAAAAGAACATAAAATATTATACAAACCCTGAAAATTTGGTAAAAATTGTATAAATAATAAGAAAGTTATAGCGATATATATATCTGCAAAATCTCCCGTTTCCTAAGAAAATTGCAAAAACTCTTTAAAAATAGCATTTTTAAATTACTTATACTTTTTTATAACTTATTTATTTTTTACCAAATTTTCAGGGTTTGTATAATATTTTATGCTCTTTTTAATGGGCCCATTTATAACTTTTTTTACTCATGCAAAAAAAAGTTAAAAAGTTAGCCTTTTTTTAAAAGCTAAAAATAAAAGGTAAACTTTTTAAAAATAAAAATCGCTTCGAGGGGTATATGCCAAAATAAGCTGAATTTTTCATAACTTCTAATAATTTTGAGATAGTATTCACGAAAAAAATTTCTGTATAAATTATGAAGTGTCCGAACATTATGTGGTTAGGGCTCGTATTATTTAAGCTATTTGGTAATACTAACTCATTTATATTTGCGTCTTCAACTATAGTACAGAAGAAATTTAGGTCGAAGAAGGCCTTCATTAAATTCTATCCAGCGATATTTATCCCAAGGATTAGCCTGATTAAAAAATTGGGTATCTAAATTTGGAGGTAAGTCTGTTCAATCTATGCTTTTTATATGAAAAAGATCTTTATCCGAAATCGGCAGTAAAGTAGTCAACAATTGGCAGTAAAGTAAAAAAAAATCGGCAGTAAAGTAGAACTTTACTTCCGATTTAATACGAGTATTGTATGCAACCCATTATACATTTTAAGATGTGTCTACTGCTCCTCAGTAGCAACTAAATAATATTTTTTTAAAAAGCACCGTCGCGGAGGTCGGTTTCATTAAATGTTAAGTTAATTTTAAAACACTTTAAAAACGCATTTTGATGCCTCTTTATTGTTCGTGACAGATTATTACCAAAGATTTTAAACTGCGAAGTAGAATTTACTTCGTATGCGTTGCGTTATAACAAATACATGAAAGAATTGTCAAAAACACTCTTACTTTCGGAATCTTGGCTTTTTTGTGTAAAAAAGATGTTGCGTAAATATAATAGTGAAAATTAATGTCAAAAATGTATAATACTGATAAAGGTGAGTACAAATACAACTTTAAAATGTCTTTTTTGGATTTTTTTCCAAAAATATAGCGTTTTTTAACCTACAAATTCTCAAGTGTGTAATTTCAAATATTAAATGAAATGTAAGTAAAGATTTATAATTACTTGCCCAGAACCACATAGTGCATTCGAAAATATGAACCTCCAGCTAAGATTTTATAAAATTTCATCTGCCTTTATGCGCCTATAATGAAAAATGGTGACAAAAATTACCGCCAACCTGGTCATAAAAGTAATATATTTTTCGAATCTGACAATAATTATTGCATTTAAGAAAGGTAATACAATTTTTTTACTCATATTACCTAATATTTTTTTAATAATATACTTTGTATATTATACGGATCGGATTGACAATAGAAACAAAACTTTTTTATTTTGTTACGAAAAAAAAACATTTTTTATAAAAACTCTTGCTTGTTTCAAAAATAAGATTTCTACATAAACATTTTAAATTAAATGTACAGGGTGCTCAGAAACTAAAAAACCTAAAAAAATAGAAGTGTTTTATGGAAAAATGATTTTTCTATGAAAATATTTTATGGTTAAAAATTTAGACTTTCATAAAAAAATTAATTATATGTACAGGATGCTCAGAAATTAAAAAAATTATATATCTAAATAATAGAGAAGTAGTAAAATATTCGTAACAAAATAGCAAAAAATCATTCTTCATAAAAACTTCTGCTTGGTTTTAAAAATGAGATTCCTAACAAACATTTTTAATTAAATGAACAGGGTTCTCAGAAATTAAAAAAACAGAAAAGTGCTTCAAGAGGGTAGTACAATTTTTGTATAGGAATCTCATTTTTAAAACAAGCAAGAGTATTTAACACATAATAAAAATAATAAGTTGTCCTATTGTCAACCATCACGATATTGGCTAAAGGGTTGTTAAAAAGAAATATGGTGAAATGTAAAATGTTGATATAATAATAATTTTTGATACTTTGAAGGTAATGGTTTTTCGATTATTTATGTTAAAAATTATGCTTGCGCCATGTTGCAATCGCCAACATTGGCAAACTATAAACATTTATTTATTCAATAAATAAATTATTAAATATAAAACATAAAAAAAGAACATAAAAAATACAGGAATATTGAAAAAATTCATTTTATATCATTTGGATAGACATCCCCATCCTCAATACCAAATATTTTTGAAAAAGTAAGTAAATTTAGCACACCTAAAACATAAAAAACACACGTGTTGGGAAAAATATTTAAAGAATAATTTTTTCCGCGTAAATTTAGCTCTCAGACCACAGTGCACCGTTGGCATAAAAAATCACGACATAATTTTTTGTGCCATCGGTCAATCTCAAACAGCGATGGCATACAATTCACGACATGATTTTCATTTCTCACGCAGTGACATCCGTATGATATCAGTATGAATAAAATTTGTGAAAATTACGACGTGATGTTCGTATAGATATCACGAATGTTGTGCGGGATATTCATGCTTTTAAAGATATCGATACGTAAACATTTTAAAAAGATTAAGATAAATATTGTCTATGGGTATACCTTAGGGTTAATATGAAACCACTTTGCGTTATTACTTTCTTAGAAAAAAAGTTGTTCATTACGTTGTTCATTGTTAAAATACGTCAGTGCTTTTGGATCAAGTTGAATGTCATTTTATACATATTAGACGCAATTATATATACATATTAGATGCAACAACATAATATTTATATCGTTTTCTTGAAAGGATTACTGGCCTCCTTATCACCATCCAAATGTAATGATTTATTATTTATTTAACATTGCAATGGCTAATCAATAAAATAAACGTTGAACTTGTACATTTTAAGTACCAAGTACTAAGTAAGTAACATTGCAATGGCTAATCAATAAAATAAACGTTGAACTTGTACATTTTAAGTAGGTACCTACATACGTAAGTAACATTTTACTCAATATAAAATAAATACATCTCCTATAATATGTGAAACAAAATTTCTACAAAAAAAATTACATTTTAGGGATTAAATAATATGTAATTTTTTTTTTGAAATTTTGTTTCACATATGAGCAACGTTCCATTTAAATATTATTTATTAAATATATTCATACAGACAAGATTTTTCGATATAATTAGTTTTCATCATCATTAATTTGCAAAATAATGTGTTTTTAAACAGGAAAATTTTGCACTGCAAGTAAAAAAAAATTACAAACGTAGTAAAAGACGATAAGGATAAAAAACGATAGGTATTGCAATCATGAGACAATTGGACGAATAACTTAGTCGTGCAATAAATTATAAAAATATATAAATAAGTATATTTATTATAATAATATACAGTGTGTCGCATTTAAGATGAAGACACCCCCATATTTTCGCTATTTCAAGGAATAGAGATTTGAATTTTTTCACATCCATACATGTTGGTGGGTCACATTTTTTAAGATACCCGAGTGAAATCTGGCCTACTACGAATTCACAAACGGGGCCAGTTGTCGATATTTTGCTTCGCGTAAGAAATATCGAAAAAAATTATTAGAAAAAGTTGTTCAGAATATTATTCTAACCCCGTATACCGATTTTCATAGCAAAATTCGCATTTCTAATTTATTTATTTTTATTAGTTTTATTATTGTTTTATACCATTTCCTTAATTTAATAAATTATAATTGATTTGTAATTTCCAAAAATTGTTTTAATTATTTATTTAACGGTCATAAACACTAGTAAGTATCAAATTATTACTTTCCATGGCTCCCTTATTATCAAACTAAAAAATGAACTTGTAATAATTTTGTGTGGACCAAAATAAAAAAAAATTAAAAATGCGAATTTTGTTATGAAAATTGGTATATGGGGTTAGAATAATATTCTGAACAACTTTTTCCAATAACTTTTTTCGATATCTCTAACGCGAAGCAAAATATCGAGAACTGGCCCTGTTTGTGAATTTGTAGTAGGGCAAGTTTAAAGTTCAGATTTCAGTTGAGTAGCTTAAAAAATGTGACCCATCAACATGTATGAATGTGAAAAAATTCAAATCTCTATTCCTTGAAATAGCGAAAATATGGGGGTGTCTTCATCTTAAATGCGACACACTGTATATAGAATAGTTTTTTTCCTTTGTAGGTATTATAAAAATTTAAAATTTTACTTGGTTTAATTAAGTAATAGGTACCTACGTGTTTTAATGTGACAGATTTAAATGTGTTACTATAATTAAAAAACCTGATACATTTCAGCTAAACAACGATTTTAATTTTGATTCTCATATTGTTGACTGATAGTTACCCAAAAAAGCTTAAAACTATCGCGCAGATTTATTAATATTTATTATTCACTTATAGAATGATTCAAAAATTTGCAATACTTTATCGCACTGTTCTTTGTTCCATTACTGTGTATTATCATAATAATAAATAAATTAAGAATGATTCCAATTAGTGTGGTAATTAAATGACGATTAAGCAAGTTTATCGCTTTTTATTTAAGATTTCGTTTAATGGCGCCACCGGGTGTAAGCAGCTCCTCAGAAGTAGTCAGCCCATCGTCGACAGCACATAAAATGAGCGGAGCCGAAGAAAAGAGGATCGTCGTGTTGGACGGCGGTTTCGCTACCCAACTAAGCTGTCACGTTGACAAGCAAATCGATGGAGATGTTTTGTGGAGCTCCAGGTTCCTGGCAACCGACAAGGAGGCCGTCATCAACTCCCATTTGGACTTTCTTAGAGGTTAGTGCTTTAACAGTGATTTTTATTTATGTTTTTTAGACTAATTTGCCCATTATCATTTGGACTTTCTTAGAGGTTAGTGCTTCAAAAGTGGGATTTGTTTATGTTTTATAGACTAATTTTCCCATTATCGTACATGTTTCCATGACACTAAATACACATTGACAAGTTGTGGCTTTATGGCGTTTTAGTCACGGGCTCAAGTTAGTTTTAAGTTAGTTGACAGTTGTCAAATGTCATACAATCGTTAAAATAAAGTGCCCTTCTTGTAAAATAATACTAAATGTGAACATTATTTTATTATCTTAATACCTGAGTCGTTTTCAAAAAACACCCGCCTTCCGCTGTCCGTAAGTTTGAATTGCAATAACTTTGTTAAAAATTATCGGATCTTATTGATTTAAAAAGCAAGTGAAAGCCTAACAAGCCCTTAGTAAACTCTTTCAGAAAATTTTTGTTTAGTTATTTCAGAATAATTTTTTTTAAATTTTGAAACTTGCGAAACACACATTTTCGCATGTCCCATTAGCGTTTTATAAAACTTACATACATGTTTTTTTTTTAATATTGAATAACCAGAACTTTGTGTTGCTTTATAGCAATCCATAACATCCTTAGTTAATACAGTAAACAATTTATATATAAAATAATTAATTTTCATCTACTTTTTCTAAATTTGACTCATGTCCCAGACATTTTTTCCGTTGCGTTACGTCCGTCGCGTTACCGATAGAATATTAAAAAAAACATATATATGGCAACTTTTTTGGTACTCACGTGATCAACAAATGATGTTCGGACGTACAGTGTACGTCGTACACATTACCCAGCTGAATTTATTTATTCAATCAGGAAGAAGATATCGGTTGAAACAGGTGCGGGTAACGCGAATGTAATAATTGTTTGTCCGCTAAGTTACTCAAAAAAAAAAATATGTTTATTTTAGGGAACTAAAGCTCATTGAGAGTAATTAATGACTGTAATGTCTTATTATTATTTTTTAAATATAGTTTCACAAAACTTTTTCCACTGCGTTACAGAGTCCACTATGTTACCTTATGGTAATGCAATGGAATTTAGGGTAACGCAATAGAATTTTCGACAACAAAGTGGACATTTACCGCTTTTATTAAAAGTAGTTTATGATAAACCAATTTAAAATTATTTGTAATTACAACTCATGATATAGATTACATCCAAGGAAAAATTCCACGCAATATAAAAGTACTAAAAGGGACCTTCACCAGCTTATAGTCAAAGAAAAAGGGTGTCTACAATTTAGAAATCTTAGTTGTTATTCTGCAATTGCACTTAAGTGAGCACCACTACAAGGGATTTTGTTTATGCATTACTCTAAAATCGTACCACCCTATATAGTTTCTTTTTTATGTTATCTGATTAAATCCTTTGTGTGCCCCTGTCCATTGTGATACCAATGTCTATTTCGTTACTTTTTTTAGTTTGTTAAATAAATAAAGTGACTAAAAGAAAATATTAATGGGATTGTTTTTTTAACAATAAATCGGAATAGTTTCTTTTAAAAAGTAACTTAACGAACATACATATTTAAAAAAAAGCATACAATTTTTAATAAAAAATAAAATAAAAAATTGGAGTCAAAAGTTTGTGAACTATAAGTACATTTTATTTCAAATTATTTTTATAACAACTTTTTTTATTGATTTTTTTGGATTTCAAATTGGTAATGGAGATAGCTAAACACATTTTTCTGAAAAAAGGTTAAAAAAATTAAAAAGTGCACTGTCTGTCTTAAATGTAAGTAAAAAAACTCTAAACATTTATAAAAATCTAACCAAAAGTCAATTTAAGCAAAAAAAAATATTTTGATCTTCATTTTCCTGAGAGCGGGTGTTTCTTGAAAATGGTCTACAAAATTACAAAAGCATTAAATACTTTCTCAACGCCAATATTTAAAAAGTTTATATGAACATTGTACTGACCTTTTAATTTCGCCGAAAGTAAACTGTAAAACAGTAAAACATTTACTGTGAAAAACTTTTGTTTATCGATTTTCAAGGAATACATTTCAATTTATAACCTTTATAACACATAAAAATTTGACATTTGACGGTACCTAACACAGATTCCCCTATTGCTTTATAGATGGCGCTCTATACAAATATTTGCATATACTATCGCTAACAAAAAAAACTCATACAGCTTAAAAATCTAGTGTTCCTGATTTTCTATCATTTCGTTGGAGTAATTATGGCTTTTAACATGATACGTCACATTTGAAAGGTCTAAAATTAAATACAAAGTTAGGTTGAAGTTTGAAAAAAAAAATAATATTTCGTCATCCCTCTGTTTTTGTCAATTACTGCCCGCAAACTGCAAAGCATGGAAGTCGCCGTCTTGCTTTATCTCGTTCCAAATGGCTTCAATGGCTTGCCAGAGTTCGTCTGTATTGTTTGGTTGAAAATGTTGTTAAAAAAGTCATAATGGATGTGACAAAGCTCGATGTCAACTTGACATTGACGGAGAAGTTTTATTCACACAGCCACAATATAGCTGTATGAGTTTTTTTTTGTTAGCGATAGTATGTACTTACTTACTAAGTATATGAATATTTGATTTAAATCATTTTAAGATAATAATAAGTATTTGTCGTAGGATATGTACGCAACTCTTTATAAACTTTTCTAGACACTCATTAATTAAGCCTAAATTAAATTCGTGTATAAAATGGCGTTGATCCCAGATAGCACCATTCGTCCAATGGACGTCCGTTTAAGATCCATTTTAAGTACATTGGTCCACGGACTAAAAATGGATGTACTATGTACGTCCATATATTTACATCCTTTGTACGATTTTAATGGACGTCCATATAGTGTCCATTTTACGTCCATAATTATTATTACAGAAATGCAAGTAAAGACGTATTGTTGGCTGCATAGCAACAGTTATGATCAATCTCACTGACATTCAAGCAAGCGCGTGCTATAAAGGACCTAAGCTATCAATGAAATGTTAAACACTAGTAGTATGAAAATGTAATGTTCTTGAGTCGAATACAAGGATTTCCTGCAATGTTCAACATTGAATGTTGTAACTTTTAACAACTTTTAGAATATTTATATTCCTAGTGGGATTGTTACTGAGCCAGACAAAAGGCATTTCAGTCATGTTGTAGAAAATTTTCTGCAACATTGCAATGAAAATACAGTCGCAAAAAACAGTTAAAGTAAGCAAAAAAGCAGGTCCTGGATGGTGGAGGAATGGTTCAAACACCTTATAGACGTCCATCGGTGGACGACTTATGGATGTCCAAAGTTGTGACATCTGGACTCTAAACGGATGTCCATGGGACGTCCATAGAAAAAAAATGGACATCCTATGTACATACAGACGTCCACGAGCATACGTCCATTGGACGTCCATAGTACACCTTTGTGCTATCTGGGATCAAACTTAATAAATTGTATACAAATCCAGTCTTTTATTAACCATATATGGTTAATAAAAGACTGGATTTGTATACAATTTACACCATATATGGTGTAAGTCAATTTTTTGAAAATTTTAGTTATAATATAAAGTAAATTCAATCTATCAAATCCATAGACTACATTTGTATAAAACATATACATAATTTTATTTGGAATTCCAAAGGAATTGATCTTCAGATCAACGAGTTAACACTTTGATCTTAAGATCACGTTTATAAATTAATTTATCATTAATTTATTTATGAATTTGTAAAAAGATACCTAATTTTAATTAGGTATTAATTAAAAATAAGATATCTTTCTATAAATGTAGTTTTGGACTTATCTTAATTTTATTGTTTTTAACGTTTCGATTAGTAATTATCTCTAATAAGCTTCAGGTACTAACTAAAGACAATTAAAGATAAGAAAAACAATCAAATTAGGGCAATGCAAGTCCAAAATTCACCTGTTAATCATGCCCAGATAAATTTCTCCAACCATCACATGTGCTGGCAATATGAGCCTCAATTGATGACGGAAATGATGCATATATGTGACATACTTGCGGATTAAGAATCACGTTGTGACTGCATTATGCGTAAATTATGAACCTCGCAATGTTTCTCCAACCATAACATGTGCTGGCTATATGAACCTCAATTGATGACGCAAATGATGCATATATGGATGCATACGTGCGGATTACAATCACGTTGTGACTGCAGTATGCGTCAATTGTACAGGCTTCTTAAACAAGAATATTTTTTAATTAATTATGTTGTTTTTATTTAGTAATTCGGTGTAGGCTTAATTTATTTTTTTAACGATAGTGTTTTTTAGCTGGTTCCGATATAATTATGACGAATACATATCAAGCAGACGTAAAATTATACGCCAAGCACCTAAATATGACAGAAGAAGAAGGATACGAATTGATCAAGGAATCCGTGGAATTGGCAAGAACTGCAATTAAAAGATACTCTGAGGAACACCCATTCTCCAGTAAAAAAAACATACCTATCTACTTAATTAAGAATCTAAAAATACTAAAAACAAATTTTAGGACAGCCTAAAATAGTGGGTTCTGTGGGTCCTTATGGTGCCTCACTACACGACGGTTCCGAATATACAGGGTCCTACGCGAAAACCACTCCAAAAGAAGTAATTAGAGACTGGCATTTACCCAGAATATCTGCCCTTGTGGAAGCTGGTGTCGATATGTTGGGATTGGAAACCATACCTTGTAAAATTGAAGCCCTTGTGCTAATTGAGATGTTAAAAGAAAAATTTCCTCATGTCAAAGCCTGGCTATCATTTAGTGTCAGCGTAAGTATAATTTAAGTTAATATTAAGTAACACGACACCACTTTTGCAACCCAATTTCGCTTTAATCTTAACTTTTTAAGTTAAAGACAGTGTTAATAATACAATACCATATGGTATATATAGTGTGGTAGTTACTTATTATGTCTAAAAGTTTAGTGAATGACTTACTATAGTCATTGATTTAAAAGTTTTGTGCACATGGCCACAAGGAATTCAAAAAGTTAATCATTAAAATTCATATTTAATTTAAAAAAATACCTACAAATAAAATCAAGTTTGTTTTTATAATTTACAATAACATATTACAGCCAAACCTGATAAACCTTATCAGCTTGAGTCTTAGCTAAATACTGATTCAGTCCTTTATCTTAAAGACTTAAAATTTAAATATTTGATATTTTTTGTTTTTTTAAATTTATTGACAGTTTGCTATCAATAGAAAGCAAATTACCAGATCACGGCAGGTTTTAATAAAAAACAAACTTGCAAATTTCAAGAAAATTACACTGACCAACAAAAAAAATCTGTTTTCTGCAGGGTAGACAAAAAGATTTTTATAAGGTAAAATGGGCAAATTGAAGCCAAACATTAACATCATTTTGCTTAATTACCTATAGGTAATCTAGATATATCTCTAGTTTTCCTGATATTATAAGTTATAATATTATAATGTATAATATTATATATGGTATATTTTACTATTATATAGGTAACTGAACTAAATATGCTTAACTGGAATATTCCTAAATTAACTTTCTATAGCAATTACTTTCTTAACATTCTAAGCATATGTTTAGAGTAGACTAATATTTACCACTAAAACTTTGCACCTTCTAAGAACCTGCCTATGGGCCAGTAAGAATATTCTTAGGATCATGCTTTATGTTCTTTAGAAGAAATATAGCATGATCCAGGTTCTTAGAAGGTGGAAAGTTTTAGTGGTAAAAATTAGTCTACTCTAAACATATGCTTAGAATGTTAAGAAAGTAGTTGCTATAGAAAGTTCATTTAGGAATATTCCTGTTAAGCATATTTAGTTCAGTTACCTATATAATAGTAAAATATACCATAAACTAAGTATTATAATAATTATACAGTGAAATGTATTTGTCGTCCCCTTAAAAAAATTTGCGACATATTAATATATATTTATTTAAAAATATTAAATAAACAATTTGACCTCTAAACCATAAGTTATTTATAAAAAGTAAAAGTATTATTATTATTTCATAAAAAGTAAAATTGGAAAATTTTGTGAGATAAGTCAGATTAGATTGAAGTTGAAGATAGTTAGTATTATTATACATAAAAATGTTAATTCAGAAATAAAAAATCTGTATACCTACAAATTAATAATTAATATTAAATACTAAGTAAAAAACATAATCCAAAATATTTTTTTATAGTCATTTGTCAAATTAAAACAATATTCAATAACAAAAATACTTTTACTATAGATATTTTATTTTATGTTAAAAATAAATATTTATTAATTTGTATACCGATTTTTTTATTTCTGAATTAACATTTTTATGTATAATAATCCTAACTATCTTCAACTTCAATCTAATCTGACTTATCTCACAAAATTTTCCAATTTTACTTTTTATGAAATAATGTCATACAACTTATGGTTTAGAGCTCAAATTGTTTATTTAATATTTTTAAATAAATATATATTTTTATGTCGCAAAATTTTTTAAGGGGGCGACAAATACATTTCACTGTCATATTATAGGCGTATTTGTCGCCTCCTGAAGAATTTTACGAATGTAGAATCCAACATATTAGAACGTGGGTATCTGACATATTTGGAAATATTCTCAAAATCTTCCTAGAAACTCCATAAGAAACCTTCTAAGAACATTCCAAAAACGTATTCTTAAAATGTTCTATAGGATGCTTTTTAGGAAGGTTTTAAGAAGCTTTTAAGAATATAATTGCATCATTAAGGGTATCTATTGAATGTTTTAAAAGTCCCTAAGAACATTCTTAGCAATAAGGGAAGGTTCTAAGAATATTCTATTATTCCGGGTCATATCTTCTTAGGATCAAATTTTGCTATCAGGGAAGTCGGTGAGTTTTTTTAGTTTGTGAATCGATTTTTTTTTACCCCTGGTAGGTAGCTCAAAAACCGATAACCTAATGATGAAAATTCGAAGTTTTTACCATATTTTTACCACCCTTTAGTTGATTTCATTAAAAATTGTATGTTTGGGGTTTATATATTTTTAAAAATTCTAGCAAGTTTATAATCTTTATAGATTTATTTTACTCTTATATTTTAACACCCCCCCCCAAATTTTTGTCTGCCTACGCGCCTGTTTAATATAATTAATAAAATGACTTTTTATAGCAAGACGGAAAGACAATTGCAAACGGCGAAGATTTTCAAGATACAGTAAAGTATTGTTATGATCTGAACCCACGTCAGTTGATAGCAGTTGGTGTTAACTGTGTAGCACCAAGTTTGGTTGAAAAACTCATAAATGGAATAAACAAGGACAGAAAAAAGAATCCCATCCCATTAATTGTTTACCCAAATAGTGGAGAAAGTTACAATGTAGAAGTGGGGTAAGAAAATATTTTAATTTATTTTACTTTGGCTACCCTATAATATCACTTTTTCGTTTCGTTACGTTTGGTTACCTGGGATTAAAAAAATAAATTTGCATTTTCAGGAGTTTTTAATTAACATAAAAATATTATTTAAATGTAATTAGTACGAAATCTTATTTTTTAGATGGATAAATAGAGACAAATGTGAACCAGTGGAAACCTATGTTGGTAAATGGTTGGACATGGGTGTGACATGGATAGGCGGTTGTTGCAGAACCTATGCCATAGATGTTACCAGAATATTAAGAGAAGTCGAAAAATGGAAAAGAAACCAACTGAAAAACCAAGGAACATCACAACAAACCTGAAAAATAAGACTTTTTATATGTTATATCTTTATATGAGACAAAATATCTTTTGAATAAAATAAATAATTAAATATTAATAAAATAAATAATAGAATTAAATGATCATTGATAACTTACAAAAATCTTTATTAACTTAATCTAACATAAATATTAGTAGAGTGTTATTATTATTCTTTTGACAAATTACATACATGCATACAACTTAAATTTTAAATACCTTGCTTCAATATATTTTGTTTTATTTTCTATAGAAATTTTATTTAATACATATATTTTATCATACAATTTGTCTATGAAATGTAAAGGACATAAAGCTCATTTTTTTTGTCTGAACTGCGGCAACGTTGCAAATTTAGGGTTTTGGTTGGTAAATACAGAACCAAAATTGGTTGCATTGATTAAAACAAACTAAACTATAGTCATAAATGTAATTGTGGTTATGTTTAAATTATTGTAGGTTATATTGAACAGTTGAGTAAAATCATATAAAAAAGTAGTTAAATATAGGTGACTACGGCCCAGGAGACACAAAGTATAATCTTCGCTTTGAAAAGAATTTATATTATAAAAATTAAAATTTTATGTGAACACACGTGAATGTTGTCCAATCATTATTTCCCCTTATTTATTGAAATTTCAAAAAATTTTGTTTTGCTTAGCTGAAAATAATGTGAAATTAAATATTTGTAAAACCAAAAACGTTACTTTTTTCCTCCAAAAATGTCCATAAGCCTTATGTACATTTTTGGAGTAAAAAAGTAACGTTTTTGGTTTTACAAATATTAAATTACACATTATTTTAACTAAGCAAAACAAATTTTTTTAAAATATTAATACCTACCTAAATAAGGGGGAAATAAGGCATAGTCCTTTTTCTTTATCAAAATGAAGTTTTGCCTTTAAAAGTTCTTTTACTACTAGAATCTGATATAATTTTTGGCATAGTTATCTTTTTATATTGATATTATATATTAAATTATTAATAATTAACAAGTAAATTATAAATAATAAATATTACTGTCAATTTGACAGTGTCAGAATATTTAATTGAGACCGGTTTTCAGCAGAAGTACCATTTTTTAAATACTAAAAATACTAAATCAAATCATAAGCTTAAGCTACCAACTTAATAAAAAAACACGAGTCCAAATAAAAAAAATGAACTGTACATTGGCGTTAATTACAAAAGTTGTTATTTAATTATTGTTGTTTTTTAATTTTTGTAATTAAGGGCCATTTCAAGCATGCGGACAGGACAAATCACAAAACTGTTTTTATAAAAAAATAAATTACCTTCAATTTTTTTATAAAAACAGTTTTTTAATTCGTGCGTTTCGCGCGCTTGAAATTCAAACCAAATTTAGCGATTTTTTTACAGAATTGACACTATTGAAATTTAATATTGCGCACAAGAACACTAAAGCAAAATGATTAATATCATTATTTCATAATAATGATACTAAGCATTTTGGCTGTAAAGTTCAGTAAATTCTCAATAATTTTTCTATGTTATACTTATAAAAAGTTTTGGTTCAGTAAAATTAGATGTTACCCCGTGATATTTAATAAAATTAAATGAGTTAAATTAGTGCAGAACCACTCAACAACAAAAAATAAAAAATAATTATTTTCATTTGGGGGACATCTCAATATATTCACCCATATACCTATCTATCTATCAATATCTATCAATATTTATCAATATTTTGATTTCATAAATTATTTATTTTTATTTACCACAAAAAATGAATTTTAATTGATTTTTTTTGGAAAGTAATAATTTAAAAAATCTGTACACTGAGAAAAAAATGGGACAAATAAACTGTTTACCTAATACTTTTATTTGTAGTGAATATATTGTTTATTACCTCTAAATAGTCGAAATAATAACGATAAATATACTTTGGTAAAACTTTATATGTCGGGAATAAAAATATATTTAGGATAAATAAACTGTACCCTTGTCCCATATTTAAATATTTTTTTTATTTGGGAGCAATAAACTTTTTTCTCCGTGTAGGTAATAACTAAACAACAAAATATTTTTCGAAATTCTACACTGTTTTTATTATTTTTAGTACATAAGAATTTTACAACATTTAAAAGAAAAATTAATAACTCACAACTCATTCTCAATAATTAGATACTTTTTATACTGCTGTAAAATGTTTTCTTTTTACTATGAATATTTTAGAAAAATTTTTGCAATTTTTTTTTTAATAACAATTAAGTATTTAAACAATTTAAATTATGTATACCTTCTAGGCCAACCAATGCAGTTAAAATTTTATAAAATATACTTTGCCTTCTTATTTTTGTGTTCCAAAAAGAAAGACAGTTGGTAAAATTATAAAAAATGTAATAAATGTTTTACAACCCATTTTTACCTTGATCAAGTTATAATACTTTTTAAATATTATTCCCAGATTAAAAAATGTGCATAATCTGTTGTATTTTTTATCCAAATGTAAACTATAACACCCTGTACATTAGTAAATATAAATATTTAAAACCTTAGAACTAAGTTCCCTGACCAGTTGCCACATTTCCACCTGATCCTGTTGAAACCTGACTACCGTTTGATTGTTGAGATCTTCCCGCTGTTCTTCCTTGTACATGACGAACTTTAATCCTATCTAACTCATTAACCCTTGATCTAGCGTGCTCTAATCTATGCCAAGCCATCTGCAAAACCTTTTGTGAAGCATAACCTGAACCTTCGTGAGGCTGACCCGTCGAAACTTGAGTTAGGTAGTTAATTTGGTCTGTAAGCTTACTTTCCACTGCACCCAGAGTTTTCAGAAACATTTGTGTATGATTTTCAGCTTGTTTAAGACTCGATTTTTCTTTGCTTAGCTCTGCCATCACTTGTCCTTAAATTTTAAATGTAACTTTATAATTTATTATCCAATGCCGAATTTACCTGCACTGTGTAAACATGTTATAATGTCCTTTTCAATTGAGTCCAGGACCTGGATTCTCTCCATCGGAGCCGTTCTTTCCATTATTTTTTGTTTTTATAAAATCACAACAAAACGGACATAACCTAAGACTTAAAAAGCGCCATCTATTATTCATTTTAAAAACCTTTGAATAAAAATTCAAAGGTAAAAACGGTAGCAAAGTTCTTTGAAGAGTAGCGGGATTTTTAAAATAGTTATTTGTTTAGTGTTGAAAAGCGACTTTTTCACTACGAGGAAAGTTTAAATTGTGAGAAAAGTTTTCTTCAAACTCGTGTTAATGCACACTCGGCCTAAATTTTAAATACAATGTTTTTTCTCCAACCATTTTATTTTTTATTATATTCAAATACAAAACAAAATAACCTACAAACGTGTTTAAAATTACCTTCATCTTATTCTTTTAATTTTTAAGGTATAATTTACTTAAAATCAATAAACTTACCTTATCAATTTAAATAAAGGCACTAAAAATTATTATTATTATTATTATTATTATATATTATTATTATACCTATATACAATATAAATTTTGAAACGAATGTCAAACGATGCTGTGAATTTCTTTTCACACAGACCTGTCACTTTTCACAAAGAAATGTCACTTTACATTCGTGTTTTGCCTTGCTAGTGAAAAGATTCATTTTCTAAGCAACAATGCCACTACCCCAGCTAGCACGATACATACAGGGCCTATTTTTGACTTAGTGGGGCCCCAAGGCCCAAGCAAAACTTCGGTTGTGTTGCTGTTTGGGTTGGTTTGGGTTTTTTCTCTCATTTTTGACCATTTGACCAATGGGGCGGGGGGGGCAATGGGGCGGGGTCGGTAGGATTGTGTTGTTGAGTTTTCTAACAAGGAAGCGTTAAAATTTTGCCTATGATTCATTTTAAAAACGTTAAAATGCACAAAACAAATCCGGTTAAGCCGACAAAACGTAAAACAATGCCGTAACCTCACTTTTTTAATAAATTAGCCAGAGAATTAGTTGGTTAGTTTACAAACTAGCTAAAGCTTGGCTATTTTGTGTTACTAGAAATTTTGGTTTTCATATTAGCCAAATTGAATTGGATAGTATTCAAACTATCCAGCTATTTTAGTTTCCCTAATAATTTCAAATTAGCCAAGATCCTTGGTTATTTTGCAAACTAGCCGCTAATTTAGTTGAAAATACAATTTCAATTAAAATAGCTGACAGTTTGGCTAGTTTATAAACTATCCAGCTAGTTTATAAACTATCCAAGTTTGCACATTAGCCGTAACATATACAAAAATAATATATTAATTAATAATTATAACTTACCTTAAGTTAAATTTCGGAGTTCGGACGATTGCAATTGTAAAAAGAAATTATAAAATTCACAATAATACTTTCGACTAGGACTAGGCGGTAATAAAGATTGCGTTGAGCGGCCGCTTTTTCATTCGTAATTCGTCAGCAAAAGATTTGTCGGTACTTATAGCGGCATAAACAAAAACGCCGTAAAAGAGACCTATATAATTTTAGTTAGATTCAAAAACATAAAACATCGGCGGTCTCTTTTACGGCGTTTTTGTTTATGCCGCTATAAGTACCGACAAATCTTTTGCTGACGAATTACGAATGAAAAAGCTGCCGCTCAACGCAATCTTTATTACAATATCACCTGTATAATATCAATATCGTTATTATACCAATCTAAGCCACTTTTATTTAATATTTAATTTTCTTTATAAAATAGGTATGGCTTTATTTTAAATTTAAATTGAAATGGTTTATAATTTTTTTTTTAAGGGCTTTTTTCGGGCCCCATTTTCCTCCGGGCCCAAGGCCCGGGCCTTATGGGCCTTTAGGTAAAATAGGCCCTGGATACATAACGCGAGCTCGTGCGATGTTCTGTTTAGGTCGCATAAATACATCTCGTTAAAAACATACCAGGTATATTGCCGATATATTATTTTTTAATATTGCACATCGATGTATTGTTACATACCTATAACATGACATAAGTACTTGCAACAAACATCTAATGTAAATGTACCAAGAATGTAACTAAAGGTAATTACTTGTCATATGATTAACGGTACCAACAATATAAAAATAAATAAATAAAATAAAAGGCTTAAATAGAGTGAAATTATAATTTATTTAAATATTATTAGTGAAAAAACTTTAAAAACAATCGAAATTTCATTTATTAATATCTAGTATTATTGATGGTGATAATAAAATCTATCAATGTTATGTCAATTTTGCATTTATCAAGTTGGAAGCCATTCATTTTAGGTTATCTCATGTTCTATTTCCCACCAAAGAACACTTCTTTTTCTATGGCGTTTATCTCTGATGCTAGCGTGGTTTGTTCTGTAAGTAGTTTACTGTGTCTATGCTGTGATCTTTTTTACTTATTCTTTTGTTTTTGTATCGGTGATTTTGGGACATCCTGTATATATGAAATTAAGTGGGTTTTCCGATGGGTTTTTCTTCACTGATAAAAATGGTTTTAGTGGCAAGGGGTGTACCACAATCCACAATTTGTGGATTGTGGGGTGTACTAAAGTTCATTAAAAAAGTCAGTAATCTGTATGCATAGCAAATGCGCCTGGCAGGTAAAAAACTGAAAAATAATGTTCAGTTTTTCACCTGCCAGACGCATTTGCCATGCTTACAGATTAGACAGCTTTAGTAAACCTCTTGCCACTAAAACCCATAAATTGGAATATATATTTTGTATCTAAATTTGTTGTTTTTATTATTATTTATTTATTTATTGCCCAACAGAACATGTTCCAATTACAGGACAAAATACATACAAAGAAAAAGAAATTTGTTAAGTATATTAAATATATTATGGATAATATTAAAATTAAAGTAAATTATAATTGCTAGATGCAGCACTAACTATACTATTAAAAGTCTGGTAAAAAATATCACATGAGCTACAGTAAATATTAAAGTATCTGCACATTCTCTGAACGGGTGAATTATACATGGCATTTATTCTAGGTGTTTTATATGTAAAAGTTAATTGACTACGGCTTTGAAAAAATGGAACACGCAAATTCACAGATTCAAGGAGTGCTATAGAATCAATCTGGTTATGCAACAGTCCATACAAAAACTTCAAATGCATTATTATTCTTTTTAGCTCCAAAGGCAGTAAAGAAAATCTATTAAGAAGCTGCAAGTGGTTTGTTCCTCTAGCAGAATAGATACCGTCAAGTCTAAATGAAACAAATTTCAAGCCTATCCTTATAAATATTGTATTGCGGACTCCAAACAATACAGCAGTATTCCAGCTTAGATACAACAAATGCATAATAAAGAGACTGAAATGTTCTAATATCTCTAAAACCCCCAGTATTGCGAATTATAAATCCCAAGCTTTTCATAGATCCAGAAGCAATGTTCTCAACATGATTGGAAAACGTGAATTTATTATTTGTACAGTGTGTATACAATTTTTTTTAGCTGAATATATTAATTTATTATAAGTAGTTTTTTTAAATTTCTTTAGAACTTACATATTAAGCAAATTACTTTGTGTTTTTGTTTTTCTTTTTTATGCATTAATATACTTATTGATATAAAAAGGCTTTAGCAAAAGATACAGGCATCCGGCAAATCATTTTTTGTTTTTATACTTCTTTTTTTAGTATTTGTTTTATAAAATGTAGAAAAACTTAAATTTTTAGATAAGTTTTGTTACATTATAAACAAATTTGTTTATAATGTAACAAAAATTATCTAAAAATTTAAGTTTTTTTACATTTTATAAAACAAATACTAAAAAAAGAAGTATAAAAACATAAAATGATTTGCCGGATGCCTGTATCTTTTGCTAAAGCCTTTTTATATCAATAAGTTACATTCATGGAACATTACATCTAAACATAGCATGCATGTTTTAAAGTTACTTTAATTGATGTTTCAAACTAACGTTTTCAGTACGTAACAAAGTAACATCTCGAAAACATTGTCCAATGTAAACATGTTGCGGAAATTCGGAGGTTGCCTCAATAGACATGCGATATCAACAGTACATTGCACGGGAGGTTTAATGTACCCAATTTTACATCGCTGTACATTGTTGGGATGTTTCTGTGCTAGCTGGGACGAAATGTGACTTTTACATTGGTCGTAGAAAAAGTAAATGAAAAGTGACATTTCTGTGTGAAAAGAAATTGACAGCATCGTTTGACATTTGTTTCAAAATTTGTATTGTATTTGTATGTTTGTCTAAATATCATTTTAAGTGAGCATAAATTCACCTTAAAGGTGAATTTATGCTCACTTAAAATAAGAAATAAGAAATAAAAATAAAAAATAAGAAATAAAAATAAAAGTTAAAGGTTTGTAATTGCTAACATCACTTTATGCTCACGAAAATAAGAAATAAGAAATAAAAATAAAAGTTGGCAATTTTAAACTTAAGATTCTTATTCTGCGTATTTTTGTGCGCAAAGGATTTATTTTCGTCATCAGCTGACAGGTTTTTGTTTCGCCCGGGAAATTCGCAAATACTTTTGTGCAATAGTTAATTCATAATTGTTGTGTTGTTTAATTACTGTTTGTACAATAATTAGTGTTTTTGGATTGTTTTTGTGTTATTTTAATAGTTAATTCTTAATTGTTGTGTTGTTTAATTACTTTAAAAATTTCCCGTAAACCTGCGATTACGATTTAGCGGTCAAATGCTGTACCGCCTCGCAGTCCGTTTCTTACGAACAATTCTTTTTTGCAACAGTAAAAATGCTGTTGTAAGCAATAACATTTTTTTAATTCTAATTCTCATTTTTAAAAGATTACCACAGAACAAACCAACCAAAGAAACCAGAAACGAACGCTTTGGGAACTGTCAAACAATCAATTTTAACCTCACTTTTGCATATTTTTCTTATTTCTTATTTTTATTATTTTTCCGACATAAATGACAACAAATGAAACTATTTCTTATTTCCTATTTCTTATTTTTATTTCTTATTTTTAGTGAGCATAAATTAAATAAAGGAACACAGTTAATTGTGTTTGTATACTAAATTCTAATTTTTAGTGCCTTTATTTAAAGTGAGAAGGTAAATTTATTGATTTTACGTAACTTATACCTTAAAAATTAAAAGAATGAAAGTAATTTTAACAGCTGTCAAACACGTTTTCAGATTATTTTGTATTTGAAAATAATAAAAAATAAAAGGGTCGTAGAAAAAACATTGTTCAACTTGTGAGAAAAGCTTTCAACACTCGCATGAAAAAGTGGCTTTTCAACACTTGTAAAACAAATAACTATTTTAAAAATTTGCAAAAACCGAGTTTTGCATCTAATGATTAATGATAATTAATCAATTGATTAAGATAAAAAATTTTAGAATGTATAATTGTTTTGAATAAAATAATTGGCAAAGGTGGAAATAAAAAACGTGCAAATTTAATATTTAATGTGTATAATAGGGTATAACAGTTATTCTTGTATTTTGGCTAAAATAGCTGCTCTCCTATCAGTATTTTGAAATAAAGCTCTAATAAGTTGTTTTAATTCGTCACATTTAAATTGCAATGCCAGAGGTCCCTTTCCATCTGCCCATCTATCATTAATGCTAATTAAATTTGAACTTAGGATAAAGTTTAATTCATTCAGCCTGTACCATGACTTAACATACAGGCTAATTTCATTGGGATCAGTAAATAGTTTTGGGCCCCTTGTAAGAACAATTTTTATAATGTCAGCTAGTTGTTCGGCTACATCTGATGGAATGTCTTCAAATTTGACCACTGATTTAACAATAATTTGACAAAGAAAGTCAAATATAACACCTAATGTTTTGTTGTACACAATGTATGATAAAACTTTTGACCACACAGTTTTTAGTAGTTCTTGTTGCCTTAAAGATTGTCTTACGCATTTTTCAGTTGCTGGTTCCAATTTTGTCAAACTTTCAGCACTAAGTCCTGCATTAGTCATAATTTCATTGATCTGCTTAATTTGTGTTTCAATGTAATTTTCGAAAGATTGCTTTGCTAATGTTTCTAATTGATCACATTGTGCATGAAAATTAATTTCCATTTTTAATATTGGATTTAATTTTAAACAGTATGGGGTTTCCCATTTATGTAGTTTGTGGGAAATATACATGCAATTATTGTAAAACAGGGCAATTTGCTGTGGAATTGTTTGTAACAGTTTTTTGTGATGTTCCAAGACAAATTCACCATAAGTAACAATAATATTCTGGACTGTACAAAATAATCTACCTGCACAAACCTCCGATGAAGTTAAAGATTTCTGCAAAATACTTTCCATGAAACTTAAAATTTCTTTGACGTTTTTTGATATAGAACATTGCACAAAGTCATTATTGGCTACAGCAAAAGGATTATTAGGATTATAGGGAACCCCAACTTCGACCATATCATGCAAATCCTTCTTCATTATTGCTTGCGCTTCTCTCATGTACTCCTGGCATTTTTTATTTATAAAATGAGTATCAATGTTATTGGCATACTCAATAATACCCATTGTGTCTTCAGTAAAAATATTACATTCAACAAGACATTTTTGCAATTTTTCTGTGTCTTCGATTACAATTTTATATTCTGCCAGCCCTTCATCGCTGGAAGGAACCGTTTTTTGTAAGCAATTATTTATTAGTAGTTCAGACAAATTATCTCTAATATCTCTCCCAATATATCCCAAAGTAGTAAGATCCGAACTAACTGGTAAATCGAAATGTTCATGTAAAAAAACGAAAACAGATGTAATTCTATCAAATACGTTTTTATATGTATCTGCTTTCTCATTTACCATTTCAATTTCCAAAACTTTGTAACAATCATCTTCAAATTTATTGATTTTTGTGGTATTGTCGACCAACCATATAAACACCTCATTCCATAAAAACGATGTGACCCTGTCCAGAGGAAAAATTGTTTCTTCTGTATACAGAGCCAAAAGTGCCTCCTGTACATCATCATCCCCATCCCTCACTTTTATTTTTATATTATTTTCATTCTTGGACAAAATAATATTATCATTGAAAATATTATGCAAAACGTTAATCAACTCTTGTTTTTTTGATTTAATTAGAAAACTCAACTCAATTAAAGCATCCAAACATTCTTCATCTGAAATCGAACCTATTTGTAGTTCCATACTTTTTACCAATTCCATACATTTAACCAGAGACTTGTTCCTTAGCATTTTATTAAATAGCAGCAAATCTTCATTAATTTTACATAAAGGCAAGACCACTTGAAGAGCAAATTCTTCTCCTCGTAACTCATTTTCCAGTTCCTTTATCTCCAATTTAGCTTTGCTTAAATCTTTTTTGGTTATTGACTCCACAGTTTTCAGCAAATCACCAATTTCACTGTGCGCTTTTTTAGCTTTGTTTAAAAGTTCAGTGTTTTGTTTTACATTTTGAGTGAACTTAACGTACGCACTGTTTGTGTATTTCAACACGTCACTTTTTACATTTTGAACCTGTGCGACCAATCTTGGAACGTTTGCTTCAACGTCTTTTAATTCTACTTTCTCAGCAGAAGATAGCACTTCAGCTAATAAACTCATTTTTTACTAATTACAGATATGTCTACTGTCATGCAAAGTTATTTGCTGTCAATGACAGCCTGTCATGTTTGAATATTTTGACAGTTTATTGCCAACTTTAAATATTGGCAACGGTTTACAATAATACCAACCAATATTAGCCTTGTTCCTAGCTCGAGCGAGTTTAGATCTGTGAACAAACCTAATAGGTTTGTTGGTTATTATCACACTGTGGTTATTATGGTATATTTTTAAACAAAGAACGCCTGTGCTGTCAGACATTAGTAGAGGGTGTATTATCTTTGGAGGGACTGCGAATAAAACAATAGACGAGACACGCCTATGGAACAAACCTATGAAGGTATTGCCATCTACCAGTAAACTACAAAACAACAATAAACTTTAAAGATTACTGTTTTACCAATTATGACATTTTAGTTTGACAGATTTTGTCCTATTATCTTTATTTATTTATGTATTTAGTTTTGAATAAAGTGAATTTTTAATTGAAGTGTTTATATGTTCTATACTGCAAATATATCATTAAAATAATAACGTAAGTTTATCCAACAAGATAAGCAGTATTTGTATTAACTCTTTGATTCATTATATTTTATTTATTTTAATTATATTATTTATTGTTATCCTTATCAAAATCAACTATTTTATATTTTAGTCATGCTTTTTTATGAAATAAATAGTTATTATTAGTGGGTGGTAATATTTAGACATGCAAGTTATTGAAATCTGTTTATGCTATATTAAATTGAATGGGCTTGTATATATTTTTGGCCCAGTTCCAAATTTATCTTAAAGTAATTTCCTTTGCCAAGAATGTGACACTGTTTAAAAATTATTTTTCCTTCAAATCATGGCCAAAATTATTGCCAGAAAAGCAGCTCCATTCTTAATAATATGTGCTAAAAGTTTATTGTAAAATAATTAAGGATTAAGGAAAATTGATGGTTTTTGTTGTGCAGTTATTAATGGACCAAACATGGCTAATGAACCTTTAATTGTTGAAGCTGTCTACTCGTTTAAGGGAAACAATAATGATGAGGTAAGTGTTCAACTTTAAACTATGATTTTTAGTGTTTTATTAAATTTGCACTGTGCAAATCACATTCCAGAAATACCAATGGCTAAATACACTTTTCAATTTAATTAAAAAATACTATCAATTCACTATACATAGGTAGTTTTAAACAGATTACATATTTAATAAAATCAAAATTTTGAGTTAATTATGCATAAGTAGTTATATTAAACACACATAGTTATGTTAAGATCAATTGAGGACCCTAGAAGCCAAGGGATACATGTGACATTTAAAACAAATGTAGTTATGTACAGAAAAAATTAGTAAATGGTACATTTTACTTGGTATCCAAAGGATATAACTGAATTCTAAGCTTATATTGAAAAACCAAGTCATAAAACAACAATTTTGACCCCAAATTACAAGTGTTTTTTTAGGTACTTTAGACATGATTATCTCAAAACTAAACAAAATGTACTTATAGATACCCCTTGGCTTCTAGGGTCCTTAATTGTTGTTAGTAACAACTTGTTACCATAAACAATACAAATTTTAAATACCTATTTATTTCCAAAACGTAATCTAATTTATGCATTTCCACTGTAGCTTTCCTGACAGATGGAAAACTAAGTTATCTTATTGTCAATGTAACTTAAAGTTTATAGTTTCTTAAAATCATAGACAAACTAAAACACCTTACCTGTATATACATAGTATAGTAATACTAATACTATAATAGTATACACATAGTATATACATAGTATACTATAATTGGTACCATAAAAACTATAAAACTATAAGTTTATAGTTTCTTAAAATCATAGACAAACTAAAACACCTTACCTGTATATACATAGTATAGTAATACTAATACTATAATAGTATACACATAGTATATACATAGTATACTATAATTGGTACCATAAAAACTATAAAAACGCTGTAGCGTTCTAAAAAAAAGTAGGGATTTTTTTAATGAGATTAAAGTTAGATTTGTTTACTTAAGATTTAATTGAAATTCACTTTAAAGTGATTTAATACAATAGTTAAAATTTTATCTGCAATTATTGTAATAACCTTGTTATGACTTTCAATCAAGCGTATTTAATGACATTTTAAAAATTAGCGCGTTAAAGCAATTTTATGCCAATCAGTTTTTATGAAAAAGTAATAGCTTTATAATTTATATTGAGCACTTAACTGTTTTATTATTAAAATATACCCATTCATAACGAATATGAAACCAATCTGCATGATGTATAATTACTACTCCATGGAGTATATCTAAACCAATAAAAAATGTATTTTTGCAAAAATACATTTTTTATTGGTTTAGATATACCTACAACAGGAAGAGGAAAATATTTTTAAAATTAATAGGTATATGATTTTTTTACCATCACTTAAAATTGTAATGTTTATTGAGAAAATTGTTATTTCTATAAAAAAGCCTTAAACCGTATTTTATATTGAGCACTTAACTGTTTTATTATTAAAATATACCCATTCATAACGAATATGAAACCAATCTGCATGATGTATAATTACTACTCCATGGAGTATATCTAAACCAATAAAAAATGTATTTTTGCAAAAATACATTTTTTATTGGTTTAGATATACCTACAACAGGAAGAGGAAAATATTTTTAAAATTAATAGGTATATGATTTTTTTACCATCACTTAAAATTGTAATGTTTATTGAGAAAATTGTTATTTCTATAAAAAAGCCTTAAACCGTATTTTTATTTTTGCTGACGCATCACAGCTTCATTTGGTTTAGTCAAAGTCCGTTAAATTATAATTATTAAGTTAATTTAAAGATGATTTTAATTCTTAAAGAATATATGCCCGATTGATTGAACTACAGCTAAACGAATATAACGATAGACTGGGCCAAAAAAATCAACTATTTTTTTTTTGAAAAGTATATCGAAAATATGGTTTGGGGTGACAACAATTATTGTGAAAGTTTGAGTTCATAATATTAATATTAAGAGGTCTATCATCGCAATTTTAAATTTTTTTCCTGAGCAAGTTTTTGTCTCAGAACTCCCAAACCATTGAGTTTAACAAAATTGACTCAAATATATTTTTTTTAGAAAATTAAATGCCCTACAAATAAGATTAAATGAAATTTTTCGTCAGATGAACCGTTTCCTTAAAATAATGCCTTAAAAATTGGTATAGTTTTACATTTTGATCTTTGTAATTTTGTAAAAATCATTACCTATAAAAAACGATAAATATTCTTATAGGAAATCAAATGCTTTACAAAAAAAGCCTCTTAACATTTTTGGCTGAATTCACTCAATCAAAAGTTATTCAAGGTTAAAGTTGAAGTCAAATCGAAATTCTTTTTTTTTCCTCTTAGATTTATTTTTTTATGGATGATAATTTGATTTTTTTTGTATTATATAACTAATTTACAATTTCCAATAAAAAAACAACATAATTGTTATTATTTAAACGATTAAAAAATAGGTAACAGTGAAAATAATATCTTCTAAAGAAAATAGCTTCTTAAAGCGAAAAAACTCTAATTTGTTATTTTTTTAATTTTCAGTAATTTTATCAATAACAAAGATTATTATCGATAAAAGAATTAAAGTTTTTAACTGACCCAAAAAAAATCTAGAGCGGAAAAAACAAGAATTTCGTTTTGACTTGACAAATTTAACCTTGAATAACTTTTGATGGAGTGAATTTAGCCAAAAATGTTAAAAGACTTTTTTTGTAGAGCATTTGATTTCCCATGAGAATATCTATCGGTTTTTTCCGGGTACTGATTTTTACATGAATTACAAAACTCCAAAGTTAACAGATCAAATTGTAAAACTATACCAATTTTTAAGGCATGATTGTAAGAAAACGGTTCATCTGACGGGAAATTCCAATCAAACCTTTTTTGTAGAGCATTCAATTTTCTTCAAAAAATATTCCCAAGTCAATTTTGTTAAACTCAATGGTTTGGGAGTTTTGAGACAAACACTCGCCCAGGAAAAAAATCTAAAATTACAATGATATGACATTTCTAGAAACAATTTTGTTTTTTAGTTATGCTTCAAAAAAGGAGATTTGATTACCATCACTCAGCAAGAAGATGGAGGATGGTGGGAAGGCACGTTAAACGACAAAACTGGATGGTTTCCAAGTAACTATGTTAAAGAATGCAAAGGTAGGGTACCTTCTTTTTTTTTTGAAGATTTTGTATACGTTGTTTTATTTAGATGTTTCAGTACAAACAGCGGTGCAACAAAGCCAATATAAAGGTGTTGTGCTGAAAGACCTGATTGACTCAGAAAAAGCCCATGTTACAGAATTGGAAGGACTTGTCACCAATTTCTTGCAGCCTTTAGAAAAAAGCAATATGTAAACTATATTTTCTATAATAACTTATAACTTATATAAATTCATTATTATAGATTAACCTCGGACGAATATAAACAGTTAACGGGGAACATAGAGGAAGTACTTGAAAATCAACAAAAACTTTTAGGGCTTATTGAAGCGGAGTCCCTTAAAACTGGCAATGATCAACGAGTTGGTAGACTTTTTCTTACGTGGGCGCCGAAAATTAAAAAAATACACCAAACCTATTGCTCCCTACATCCCAGAGCAGTGCTTATATTGGATAAATACAAGTAAGTACTAACAATACATATGGGAATTTCTAAATCTAAAATCTAAGTATTTTTTTTGGAATATATATAATTTATTTTTATAAAAAAAATATAATTGAGACAAAAATACCTTTTCACACGCGCAGCAAAAAAGTTTTCCAAATTTCTAAAAGATTCTTAAAATGCATCTAATGCAGTACCTAGTTTAAAAAAAAATCTCGTTCTTTGACAACTTTGTTTTTATTTTTCTATTCACTGTGTTAAAAATGAAGAAATTTAATTTTTTAATAACTTTTTTATTTCAAAACGTATCGATTTGAAATTTGGACAAAATGAAGATCTTACTAATACAATTAATCCATGAAACAATTTTGTTTAGATTTTAACGTACAGGGGGCGCTGGTGATAATTAATTTATTATTTAACAATTTTTAAAGGGTAAATAATCGAAGAAGCAACTTTGTTTTATAAATTTTTATAAAGTATTGATATTTGTCTATTATTTGATATATTCACTTTTTTATGCAAATTATGTTTCTGTGGCCAGGATCAGTTTTGAATTAGCAGTTTTTTCCGCTCTAATTTTTTTTTTGGTTCAGTTAAAAATTTGAATTCTTTTATCGATTGATAAAATTACTGAAAATTAAAAAAAAATAACACATTAGAGTTTTTTCGTAAGTAATATCATAAGGGCATTTAATTTTTCCGAAAAGAATCGAAAAAACACGTTGCTAAGTGATATTTTAACAAAAAGCATGAGTGCTGGTGGCAACAAAAATCCGAGTCGAAGAGGAGGATTTTTGCACCTGCACGAATGCTTTTTGTTAAAAAATATTACTTAGCATTGTGTTTTTTCGATTTTTTTCACAGGAAAAATTAGATGCCCGAATGGTATTTGACAAGACTATTTCATGAGTAACAGTTAACAATTAAAATATAAATTGCAATTTTTGGTGACAACAGCTGTCAAGTTTTGCCGCGGGTAAACTCGAATAAACTGCTGACAGTTTTTCCACCTAGAAACCATTTGTAATTCAAAATTGCGCGTTTGTGATTGGTCGAAATTAAGACGAGGGAAATAGTCGCTTTAAGAAGCTATTTTCTTTGGAAAATATTATTTTCACTGTTACCTATTTAATCGTTAAAATAATAACAATCAAGTTGTTTTTTATTGGAAATTGTTAATTATTTATATAAAACACATTTATAAAGAAAAAAATCAATTTATCACCCATAAAAAATAAATTTACAAAGGAAAAAACTAGAATTTCGGTTTGACTTCAACTTTAAACTTGAATAACTTTTGATTGAGTGAATTTAGCCAAAAATGTTAAGAGGCTTTTTTTGTAAAGTATTTGATTTCCCATAAGAATATTCATCGGTTTTTTCTGGGTACTGATTTTTACTTGAATAACAAAATTCCAAAGTTAAAAGATCAAAATGTAAAACTATACCAATTTTTAAGGCATGATTTTAAGGAAACTTTTTTAGAGCATTTAATAGTCAATTTTGTTAAACTCAATAGTTTGGGAGTTCTGAGACAAAAACTTGCTGAAGAAATTTAAAAAAAAACATATTTTCGTTATACCCACTTTACAAAAAAAAAGTCGATTTTTTTGGCCCAGCCTAATGTATATTGCCGTACGCCTCCTTGAAATGTGTTTTTAAACTTGAACAACAGTAATAGAACTGAACCATTTGTGTCAGAACCAATTTTGCCTATTGTATTATTTTTTGTTTGGATAAAATATATCATATCAAAATTCATGTTAATAACGCCTTATTATGGTACATTTTGCAAATTATTTTTTTTAGGGAGGAACTGGCAAAATATATGGAATCAAAAGGGGCGGCCAGCCCTGGAGTTTTGGTATTAACTACAATGTTGAGCAAACCGTTTAGAAGATTGGAAAAATATTCGGGAATGCTTCAAGAACTGGAACGCCATGTTGAAGAGTGCCATCCTGATCGAGGCGACACGCAAAGATCAGTTGCCGTTTACAAAGAAATTGCTGTATGTTATTTTAATTTCATTTCATTTTTAAACTCACTACATAAGATTGATTGGCACGATTCACATAGATTTGTCTCTGCCAAATCAGAACATAAAAGGCAAGGGGTTAATAGACCTTTAATTTCATCTTCAAGGGATTGAAGGTAGTCTTCCATTTCTTCTTGAGTCTTTTTTTGAATTAATTCCAATTCTTCAAAATCCTTACATGGGCTATTAACACTTAAGTTTCTGCATTTTAATATTGCATTATTTCTTCGTTCTTTTCTATTTCTCATTAATTCAAGTCTTAGTTTATACAAAATATACTGCCTGTTTAGGTGTCTGCTCGAACAATTTCTTGCGCTATATTTTATAGTCATTTTAAATGATTGATTAACGTCAAAAAAATATACAGGGAATTTATTAATTTCAGACCAAGTGTTTAGCTGTTAGAAGACAAAAAGAACTGGAACTACAAGTACTAACTGGGCAAGTAAGAGGCTGGGAGGGACCCAGCCTAACCACTCTCGGTGAAATAATTTGCATGGGTTCTGTTGCATTAGGTCCTCAACACAATGACAGATATTTTGTACTGTTTCCCACAACTCTCCTTATATTATCAGTCAGCCATAGGCTTAGTGCATTTATTTATGAGGTAAGCAATAATTATTATATCTTAACCTTATTTTAGTTTTTATGTTATTTTTTTCTTACCATACGCTAAAGAAGTATCGCTAGTAGCGCCACCACTCGGTTGTTATCATAACAAAAGTATAACAGCTGTCAAACGCTTATGTTACAAACGAGTGTTTTTGAGAATAAAGCCGGAAAATGTTAAAAAATATCGAAAAAAAGCGTGGCTCGATTTGTTGTTTTGTTAAGTGTATTTCAAGAGAAAATCCTTGGTTGAGTTTTTCCTGTTTTCCAATAAGCAGTGTTAATCTGAATGAAGAAATAAATTGCATACAGTCTCTGTAAATATAAATTGTACCTATTAGATACAGTAACTACACATTTTAGTAGTGATTAACGTGAAAAGTGTAAATAATTCAAATCAGTAAAAATCGTCAAACAAATAAGTCGTCTAAATTTAAACATCATTTAGCATTATTAAAAGCGTTGATTAAGAAAGTCTCCACTTAACGGTAAAATACCATTATATTATGTGTTATATATAATATTATGTTGCCATGAATTCGTAGGTATATTTTGTTGTTTAAAAAGCAGTTGTCGGCGTTTTTTAGAAAACTCAAACATAAAAATGATTTTTAAAACTTATTTGTTTGACGGTTATTGCTGAATTGATACAATTTATATTTACAGGGACTGTATGAAATTTATTTCCTCATTCGGATTAAACCGATAAAAACTCAACCCAGGATTTCCTTTCGAAATACACCCGACAACACAACAAATCGTGCCACGGTTTTTTTCGATATTTTTAAAATATTTCTGCTTTATTCTCAAAAACACTTGTTTGTAACATAAGCTTTTGATATGAGGCGCCGTTTGTGTCAAAATTAAAAGTGCCAAATAAACTTATTTTGTATTATAAATAATTAATTATATGCTTTATAAAATTATTTATTTATAAAATAATTTTTTTTTATAAAATTATTTCTTTATAAAATATTTTTTTTATAAAATAATTTTTTTATAAAATAATTTTTTTATAAAATTATGTTTTATAAAATAATTTTTTTTAAGTTTATAAAATTATTTTTTAATAAAATTATTTTTGAATAAAATTATTTTTTTATAAAATAATTTTTTTTATAAAATTATTTTTTTATAAAATAATTTTCTGCGAATCAAAAATTATTTTATAAAAGACGACGGGCGCATTTATAAATTAATTTATACTGCAGCCATCTCTATTTGTTTGTAGACACTCGACTCGAGTGACTCGAGTAAACCCGAGTGAACCCGAACCCCTCCCCAGATACAATTTTATGACGGACTGGGCTTTTGTTTGACGCAATTTGGGGGAGCGCTTGAAAATAACAATTTATTATTTTTATTAATTAATTTATTTATTTTTTTATCTACATTTATTTTGATTTTTAGTTTTGTTTTAAGAGAATTGATTTATTTATTTTAATTGGTTTTCAAGAGAATTATTTTATTTATTTATTTATTTTAGTTTTTAACAAGAGAATTAATTAATTAATTAATAAAAATAATAAATTATTATTTTCAATCGTTCCCCCAAATTGCGTCAAACAAAAGCCAATAAAAAAAATTATAATAATTTAAATCCTATAAATGAAAAAATAATTTTATAAAAATGAATTAATTTATAAAAAAATAACTAAAAAAAAAATTATTTGGTAAAGCATATAATTAATTTTTTATAAAACAAAATAAGTCTATTTAGCACTTTTAGTTTTGACACAAACGGCGCCTCATAGTTTGACAGCTGATTATTAAAAGTTGTACTGATAACAGCCGAGTGGTGGTGCTACTAGGGATACTTCTTTAGCGTATTAAAATAGTTCAAATTATTCAATTCCTCTCTAAATTCAAATGTTCGCACACCCCTGTAATGAAGGTAAATTATTTGTAGGGAAAGTTGTTTTTGTCTGGTCTTACAGTAAATCGTTTGGAAGATAATGCGCAATATAAAAATGCGTTCGAAATAACCGGTGCCATGATAGACAGAAGATTAGCCGTGTGCCAAAGCAAAGAAGAAGCAGACCACTGGGTGGATCTGCTGCGTAAATCTATGCCGAGAAGCTCTACCACTTCCCTTAACCAAAAGGTGGCGCCGTCTCAGGCTCAGTACGTTCCTCAACCACCTCCTCATGTAAGTATTTCAACCATTAGCTGACAAAATTATCTTTTTAAAATTGTTTCAAAATTTTCTTAATTTAGTATATTTTATTTTTTATTTGCGTACTAGTTATACATTGGAAAAAAAGAGTTATACAATTTCCAGAAGCACTGACATTATATTTGACTTTAACTGTGTTCTAGGCATGTTTTTTCTTTCTCTACAGTTCTAGGGTGCTTTTGAGAATTACTCAAGCATACACGGTTTTGGACCTGAGCAACCAAAATTTGTTTCTAATGTTATTTGGGGCGTTGAATCCCAATCGTTGGTTCTAGTTTTCGAGATATTCAATAACATACTTTTTTACGATTTTCCACAATTAATAGCCAATTGTATTCAATTCCAACTTATAATCAATAATTACAACTGTTACAATAGGTAGTTGCTCATTATGCATTTATACCAAAATGGTCTTTCTATATACATTAGGGTGTCCGTTATTTACCAACTTGGTTTTTTTGTTCGCAGCGCCCCCTAAATTTTAAGTTTATGACCTAAAAAAAATATTAAAAAAATTATACAAAAAAATATTTATAAATATTAAACCGTGCCACAAAGACAATACATTTTCCATTTAAATAACATGGGGTTTCGGCAAGTTTAATTTTTTTTCTCCCGAGCATGTTAATAATATACAGAAATAAGATACACATATTGAACAAATTAAACGGTGTACAAAAAAGCTTTTCTATAATTTTTTCATAAATTAACTGATTTAAGGTTAAAGTTAAACTTATAGTAATTTTTTCGATTTTTTTACTTTGACTGTAAAACTATTTTTATGAAAATGAATTGTTTATTTTTGAAAATATGTAATTTTATTGTATTATTGAAAAAATAAAAGTTATTGAAAAGAGATTTATCTTATAAGTAAAAATTATTGACAAGAGATTTCGATAAATTCTATCTATTTATCTACTTTTATATTGACGAGCTGTGACTTTATGGCGCTTTAGTCACTGGTTGAAGTTGGCAATAAGTAGTGGCTTTTGGGAATTTAAGGGTCTACATTAGAGAGAAGTAAGGTTAATTCCGTTGACATTTGACAGATGTCAAATGTTTAACAAATATAATTGGCTTTAATTTCTTTTTTGTGTTCGTCGTAGATAAAGTATACTTAGTATGCAACTCGCTTTATAAACTTATCTAGACACTCGTTTTTAATAAGCTTCGCTCGTGCCTAATAAAACTCGTAACTAAAATGGCGTTTATAAAACTTGATACATAATACCTACCTATACTATTATAATATTATATTATATTATAAAAGGTGCCACAGACGAAATCTGTGAAGTGCGACTTCTGCCTTCTGTGGTACTAAATCATACTTTAGTGCGCATGCGTAACTACAAATTTTATTTTTTCGTAAAAATAATTTCTACGTCATTAGCGACAGCTGAAATTTTTCATTGTAATAATATTTTATAAAATCGTATAAAATTTTGTAAAATTTCGCAGAAATAAAAAGATTATGTAAAAAAAGTAATCGTTCTAAATTTGAGTAAAACTGGTACCAGATTCTTTTAATGTAATAAACAATTTTTAATTTATCGAAATCTTTTATCAATAATTTTCACTTATCTCTTTTTAATAATTTTTACTTTTTCAATAATACAATAAAATCACATTTATTTTAATAAAAATAATGATGATTTTACAGTCAAAGTAAAAAAATTAAAATTACTATAAGTTCAATTTTCACCTTAAATAACTTATAAACCAGTGAAATTATAGAAAAATCATAAGAAAGCTTTTTTGTACAGCGTTCAATTTCCTATAAAAATATGTGTCCCTTTTTGCTGTATTGCTCCACAGAACAAATAAATAAGTGTAAAACTTGCCGAAACCCTATGTTATTTAAATGGAAAATGTATCGTCTGTGTAGCACGGTTTAAAATGAATATTTTTTTTATAATTTTTTTAATAATATTACATATATTGGAACTTGTTCTTGTATTATGCAGGTGAATGTTACTTCTTACTATAAAAGTAAGATTTGAGTGCCTTTTATTAGTTCTAACTTGTTGAATTATAATTGATTTAGTGCATCAATTAACGTTAAGAATTGTTTTTATCTGCTCAGGTCCAACAGTTGGCCGGAATTTGAAAACCTATGTTATTGTTGATTATACAAGGTGTTCTACAAGCTCTATAATAAACTTTGGCAGATGATAGCTGGATTAATTCTAAAAAATTAAGAAGTTTGACATTCAATTTTATAATTTTATAATCTATAAATCAGATCAAGAAAATTTTTTAACGAAACTTTACACCAGGACCCAAATAAGCCAAAAATGTATGGAATGTAATTAAAAAAAAACACGCTGTATAATAAAAAACAATTCTCTAAAATGAGTCCTAAGACACAGTTAAAGTTTGTCAAGTATAAAATACTAACTTAATTATTATCTGAGCAACAGAAGACGGCAGGAAAGCTGCATACAGGGTGTTATATAATTAATGTTATATATTAAAATACTGAATACCTTTTGACATAAGGAGTAAATTAAAAATATTTAAAAAAATATTTTTCAAAGATAAAGAAAAAATATGCATTAGAAGTTTTTTATATTTTTTGTGATACGCCACTGGTTACACACTTGGTTTATCTCTGAAGTTCAGAGTCTGAACACTTGTGTTCTGTGAGTACATAGATACCAACCAACAAAGTAGCTGCACGTTGCCAGATGTAAAAAATTGTTACTAAAAATTTGTCTTGCAAAAAATAAATAAAAACTCAATAAATACAAAAGTTTTATGCCCTTAAAGCTCTAATACCCTTCTGTATTTATTTACTCATCCAGCTATTAGCTTAAGCAATGATTAGAAAATTTAGTACCTATTTTAAAAAATCCATAACCACAAAATTAATTTTTTCATCAATTTTTTTCTTTCTGTTTACTCAGATGAAATTAGGATGAGTTCACAGGTTAAACATTTAATTTATGTAAATAAACCCAAAGGCACTTCCCTTAGTTAAGATTTACAATTTGAGCACATAACCTAAAATTTGAAAGAAATGCACTAGATTCTGTCATAAAAGTTGGCAGATTTTGTTTGAATTTACCTTCAGTACAAAAATGACATAACCAACAATTAATAAAAACGCAAATTGACAATTTGCATTGTTAATTTTGTCATTTTGTAATTAAGCTAAATTTAAACAATGTTTACCAACTTTTTTGACAGATTTTGGAAAGGCTGTTGTTACCAACCATAACATAATAAATTAAATTAGGCAACCAGATTAGCCTAAAGTTCCTAGTCGATCAGTGGCATACTTTTTGGTAGGATAAAGGTTATTATAAATTATTTTTAGACTTTGGAATTTAGAAAAAAAAGTTTGAGGTGCTTCTTTATCGACCCTAAGGAACAACCTATTTTAATATATAACATTAATTACATAACACCCTGTATATTCAATAGGGTAGCTCAGGTTTGGGAGTTTAAAGTTAACCAAGATTAAAAATAAAAAAATAACTTGTGACCAAAGCAATAAATTGATTGTTAATTTGGAAAATGTTCTACAAGTTTTGAAAACGGCATATTCCGCTTAAATGAAATTTTTTTTTACACAAGCCATAGCGTGTTTGGCGGTTTTACGAGAGCGGAATATGCAATTCCAAATGTGTTTTAGACTAATCTTTTTCTACGCTTACAAAAATCACTTTTAAAAAATAAATAAACAAATAAGTAGGAGAAAGTGAGGTTAAAAACTTCCGACAGATGTTAGATTTTATACGACAGGCGACTATGATTTTTGAATAAGTTAGTTTGCAACTACCCGATTGGTCCAAATTATTCTCACAGAATAAATATTCTGTAACACTACATAGATAACACTACATATGAAAGTTTTACAAACTTTTTTTCCTAACATTAAGTACTCCAGCTTGGTTTAACTAATTTTGGGCCGCTGATTTCAAAAATGTCATTAGTTTTTCTCTAGGACATCTAGGATTTAAAATAATTTCGTAATAAAATGCTCTGCTCAATCCCCTCAAAATGAAAGTTTTTTGTTGGTATTTTAATTATTTATTAAATTATTTTGGCTTAAATTTATCTTGAATGTAATGAAGTAATTCGTATATGGCAAATAGATCATATTTATATTAACGATATGACATTTTAAATACTAAAACTAAAATTTTAATGTATTTTATGTAAAAAACAACCATTATTTGACATTTTTTGTCGTTTATTTTATTTTAATTACCCATAGATATCTACCAATGCTCTAGATTTGCAGTTACTTGGTGAAATCGTTCTCCATGTTCATCAGTTCGGCAAATTTATCAGGATGAAAAAAGAAAGAAAATGTATTTTAAATGACATATTAACGCTAATTCTTTGCAAAACTGAAAGCATTTCAATGAATTGGCGCCAATTTTAGGCCCGATATGAACCAAGAACATTTTCAATGACAGCTTTAACACTGCCGTCAACTTTGAGAGCATTTTTGAATGCTTGATCTTTCATTAAACGGCGTATATCAGGTCCATTTAATATTCCTGCAAAATAAAAGTAGTAAGTATATCTCATAAAATTTTGTAATGAAATATTGCGTTGGTTTTTCTTGGGCGTAAAGGTACCGCAACAATAACAAAACAAATTTACAACGACGACATAAATGTTCGTCTCCTTTCTCTTTTTCTGCCACTTCCATTACCACTTCCATTTCCTGCTCTTTTATCATTTTTGGTTCTTAAAATCACTTTCAAATAAAAATACAATTTAAAGTTTAAATTTTAAATGTCAATAATTAATAGATGCACTTTAGTGTGCTTGAACGATAAAGTATGGCACGCCGTTTTACTTTTTATTGACATCAAAAAATTAACTCAAAACAAATATTATCAAAATTAAAAATTGCCTAGAAAATATAAACGTTCATAAAAAATACTAAATTAAATTTAATTATAAATTAAAATCTACCAATTTATTTTTTGGTGTATTGGATAATTTTCCATATATATTTACATCATTCTCGTGTGATCTATATTTTTAAGCCTCAGTTTTTATTGTATGAATATTTTTTTTCTATTTAAAAGAGGTGCTTATATGTAAATAATAATATTTCATTTATTAATTTAAAATTAAGTTAAAGTAGAATATTTATTTTGGAATAAAAATTAGACAAGATTTAAATCTGTAAGCGCAAGGCTAATTTTCTCGATGAAAAATTCGATGAATTAAAATGTTGTTTAACACTCGTAAACAGAATTTTAATTTGGCGCTAGTGCATAGTGCGGTTGTGTTACGTACTACTGCCACGAAGCGAAACCACGTAACGTCGAAGGTAAGCTCGAAAATAAATTAGGCAACAGTGCAGTCCAAAATTTTCAGTGCTATCAATAATGTAATACATTAATGTATAACGACATGATAATGATTATTAAATTATGTAAGGGGTGCATTTCAACAAGACTGCCCTGCTGGCTAACCTCACTTTATTCGAAATAATTTAGATATGGACTCTTCTAATAGACAATTTAATTGTGGTTCATTATTTGCTTAGTTGTCTATGCAATAGGATTTCTCGCTGAAGAAGATATTTATATAATTACCAGAATTGAAGGGGTTAGAATAGAAAGGGTATAAGTGCAATTTCTTTAATTTAGGAGATAAGTTCGTTTTGTGAAAGATAAGGTTCCGACGTATCGAAATGAAAAGGATTTAAGAAATTTTCATACTTCTAGGGACCTCTATTATCCAGTAGAAAAACATTACTAAACAAAAATTCTTCACTTTTTTATGGTAACATAACTTTAACTTCAAATATCTCCAAAAAATGAAAATGTTACTTATACCCTTTTTATTCTAACCCCTTCAATTGAGGACCCTAGAAGCCAAGGGATACAAGTGACATTTAAAAAAAAAAGTAGTTATGTACAGAAAAAGGTAGTAAATGGTACATTTTACTTGGTATCCAAGGGATATAACTGAATTCTAAGCTAAGACATGTTGAAAAACCGAGTCATAAAACCACAAACAATTTTGACCCCCAATTACAAGTGTTTTTTTTACTTTAAAAATGATTATTTCAAAACTAAACAAAATGTACTTATACCCCTTGGCTTATAGGGTCCTCAATTGTCCTACTCGTTACGTGTCCGAGCCGACTACCTGTACAGTATAAATAATCCACAAACTTAATGAATGTAATTAATGGTTGATTGAAAATATTCTATTGTTTTTTTTATCTTTTAGTCAATAAAAACCAATATTTTAGTAAAAAAGATTTTCTTTATTTTTATTTCAAAAAATTAATCAATAAATTAGATAAGAAATTAAGGAAAGCAAAACAGGTAAGTAAATAAAATGACAGCACTGAATTTGAATGCAACGTTGCCTAATTTATTTACCTTCGCTTGGTGGCAGTAGTACGTAACACAACCGCAATATGCACTAGCGCCAAATTAAAATTCTGTTTACAAGTGATAACCAACATTTTAATTCATCGAATTTTTCAGTCAGAAAATTCGAGGTACATAATATTTATTCCAAAAAATAAAAATAAGGAATTATTATTCTGTCACATACAAATAGCATTGAATTTATTATCTAAAAAATAGTCAGATTAAAAGAAATATGGTAGAAAGATTCTTAAATGAAAATTCGTATTGCTAGATTTAAATAACATAATAATTAATAACAACTATACCACAACTTTATTCCCGTATAAAAATTGTTTCAAAGAGTTTTAAACAACAAATAATTCGTATTAAAAGTAAATATTAAAATTTTTAAAAATATCAATAAAAATAAAATTGTATTCAATTCTTATTAGTCAAATAAAATTTTAAGTAATATTATAAACATTTAAATATTAAAACAAATATTTCGTGCAAAATATTTGTGTGTCGAATAAGAAACTTTATCACTTTAATTTCTAACAGGTAAATTGATTTTTATGTCGACGAGTAATAATAGAAATTAATTGCGACATAATGATAATTTCAGTATTACTTTTTCTTAAATAAATGTTGCGCACCTTGAATTAATTGGCTAAGAAATTCGATGAATTAAAATTTTGGTTTAAATAATTTCAATTTGACTGCCTGTTTCTCCAAGTAGCGCCTTATTAAAATTATCTCAACCAAAATTTTAATTAATCAAATTTTTTAGTCAGAAAATACGCCATTCAGTTCCAGAATTAAAATTACTTTAATTCTTATTCTGTGCTTAAAATTGTGTACTCAATATACCAAGACATCATAAAAATTTTACTTTAAAATGTTCAGTCAATTTTTAAAAAAGCAACTTGAATTAATATTTAGCTTTAATAAACATGACATTAAAAAGTAAAACGGCGTGCCATAATAAAGTAGATAAAGGCGCCTTTATACTTCAATTCATTATTAAATTTTATCCTTTAGGCATAATGTGAATAAAAACATATCAAATAATAGTCGAATAGTAATGCTTATACCAAAACCCATTTACTTTGTTGCCTTTTCAATTTAATTAGTAATTAAAAAAATGACATAAAAATTTCAAAAAATGATACTTTTTACCAAAAAAACATTATAATTTTAGTTTTGGTATTTAATAAAGCACTTCTCTGCTTTATAAAATACTACTATAGTATATGGCTACAATGGAACAAACAAAATTTCTATTTATCGATGACTTTGTATGGAGTCCCTGTATATTTTGGACAAAAAGCGTCAAAAATATACTGAACATCCAAAATAGATTTAAGGCAAAAGAATTTAATAAATAATCAAAATATTAAAAAAAACTTACATTTTGAGATAATCGGGCAGAGAATTTTATTACGCAATTATTTCGAATCCTAGACGTCCAGGAGCAAAACGAGTGGCATTTTTGAAATCAGCAGCCCTAAATTAGGTAATATCGGTGGGCGTACTCAATGTTAGTAATTCAAACTATATAGTGTAATAGGAGTAGAAAAAACTTTTTATATTATAATATCCCTATTTTGTATTTAATGTCTTAAACCTTTTTTAAAATTAGTTGTTAATAATTTTTCGAAGGTAAATTTTGTTGGCTAGTAATATTGATTGTTCCATACCTATAATAATTGTACATAGTAAAGGTTTCTTTTTTTAATTTAGCAGTTGAATCTTCGTGGTTATTCGAATAGATCTTCGGTGATAAGTTTTAGAGTAGAGTTAAATTATAAGCCTACAAACCCGCCGGAAAATTACCCTCCCACCGCTCCATTCGCAGGTCTAACAAAATATTTCCATAAATTGATCAAAGAAAAGATCATTACTCAGCGCTTATTAAGACAGTTGCTTTACAGCGAGTACCTAAATAAAATGAACCTCAACTTGGTAAGAATACGGCATCACAAAAGCGAGTGCGTTATAGTGACTAAGAGTTACCATCTCAGAGACAGCATCATAAATTGCGATAGTGACAGTGATACCGACAGCGATAGCAGCGATTCGGATTCTAGTGATGACGGCAACATAAAGCGCCAAAATGCCGTGGACTTGGATTCGGACTCGGAAGACAGTTCCGACAATCCGTTCGGGTACATTCGTTACTACAACCCGCGAACTGGGTTGGAGAGGGAGGAGAAAAAGTACGAGAGTTTTGTGGATTACGGCGAACCGTTTGTTGCCAAACCCGGCGCTCTAGTGATTTTGGAGGACGAACCCAAAAAGAAAAGCATCGTTGTTACCTCCACTGCTACCCTTAAATTAACGAAGCAAGATTCCGAGTCATCAAACGCCAGTTCCTTTGTTACCTCGAAGCCTAATTTGGCTTGCATCGATATTCCCAACTTGGACGACAACACGGAAATGAGTGTTTTATCGGTACCTCAGAATTACATCCCTAACGCGAGGCAAAGCTGTCCTACAAAGTTCGTCGGCAATAAATTCAACGAAAGCAGTCTCACGACGATTTACATACCATCTTGGTCGAACAGCGATAATAACATATCTTGCCAAACTAAATTTGAAGTTCACAGTAATAGCTCTAGCACAACGCATTCCAGCAGTCTGGAATTGCCTGTGAATACGCTACCTTTGCCGGATAACATAGTAGCAGAATTATTGTACAACATTGACGGCGAATTTAATCAATCGGAATCGTTAGATAGCGATGTAACGGAACATTCTTCCAGAACGGTGATTAAACCGCCGAAAATGTTTGAAAACAATACTTTAAGTTTAGATATAAAACACATCGGTTTCCGCAAGCACAGTATTAATTCCGACAAACCGAGGCGACGATCCAGCATCCAAATAAATCCGCAAGATTTTAGCGAAGAAGTCTGCAGATGCTGCATGGACAATTACAGTCCGAGGTCTTCTGATTCCGGTATGGCCGGAAGTTGTACGCTAAATTCTCCGGATCTGGCCGGCTGCTCCATGCAGCAGCGTTGCAGTATGGACAATATGTCGAACTTGTTTCACAAATTCAGTGATCTCCCGCCGTTTTCAGGCGACGCCTGCAGGAATGTTATATCCCTGAGTGAAATCGAAGCCAGAGACTTTGAGTCCGAGTGTCAGTGCACTTCGCCGTTTGACTCCACGCCGAGAACTTTCTGTCAGCCGTACGTATCGGAAAACGTGTTCACCGGATCTCGCGAGAGTTTGCGCACCTCCGTCACCTCCAGTATTGATATACTACCCAAAATCCATTCCAGCGAAATTAAATTAGAACCCATACCCGATCCCGAATGCGTCGAGCGATGGGAGCAAGGCGACAACTCTTCGAGCGGATCACGATGCAGCGAAGAAAAAACTTACGACGACAATCCGCCGGTTTACAAGTCGGGCCTGTATGCGCATTGGTGGCTCAAGGCGAAAATACCGAACAGCGTTCTCCGGGGAATCTATCAGGACACTCGCTCTCCTACTACAGGCAAGGGCGTGTGATTCAAGCTTTAACCATTTTAACCAGTGCTTTCTTTTGTGTGTTTTAGCCCTTGCCTGTGTACAATAACTAACTATTCTTTATTCTTGAAAATTAACGGCTTTTTGGATTTTTAAGAATTAACTAATTTACAACACAATGTTTAAGGATACAGTTCTAGAGGAAATTTGACAAACTGGTGATTACTAAACGGAGATAATTTTCTAAAGATATTTTTTATTTGGACATTAAAAACGGAAATACTGTCTACATTGATTAAAACCTTTGACTATTAAAACAAACTAAAATATAATACTGTTTTTTTATATACAGGGTGAGTCATTTAACTGGTAACTGAATATCTCAGTTAGTATGCATTTTACAAAAAAATGTTTATGTTTAAAATTTCAAAAGGAACACCCTATTTTTTATTTCAGATTCGGATCATTTGACTAAAAATAGGTAGATTTTGTCTAAACATTTTTTCATATTTGGAACACCCTATTTTTTATTTCAGATTCGGATCATTTGACTAAAAATAGGTAGATTTTGTCTAAACATTTTTTCATATTTGTAATGAAAAAAAAAATCAATTTTGTTCGATTTTTCTTCTTATACGATTCTGCAATAATTTTTCTATAAAAATATCACTTTTTTTGGTAATAATTATCTTATTAAATTAAATCTGATTTTTTAAGTACCCACGATTTTTTAACTAATATTTAAATTTCCTTTGGTTTAAGTTTTATACTTTATTTCATTCGGTGATAATTATCAATTGCGCACCATGGTCACTTTGCCAGCATTAAATCCTTTAATTTAAGGGATTATTGCACTATTTTTAATAAAAATTCCTTATTTAAGGTAAAAAAGAACATTATTTTGTCAATTAATTAATTTAATCCTAATTGAGGTATAAAAGAATGGTATTTACTTATAAATAATAATTATTATTGAGGTATAAAGAAACTATTTACACATAGTTTAGCATTATTTAATCAATTTAGTTCGAAGATTAACTTGCAAACAAAAATACCTCTTTTTGTTAAGCAGTTATTCATAATGGATTTTTTAACAGTGGAAGAAAAAATTATTTTGATTTATGGTGAAGCAGGCAGGAATCTTGATGATGCTGTTAATATCTACGCTTAGCGTTTTCCGGAATAAATTCGATCACGTACTTCATTTCACCACAGGTGGAAATAATGAGATTAATGTATTATCAGCAACGGCCGCTAATCCTCATGCAAGCACACGATAATTATCTAGAGATTTGGGAATATCCCAGAGCAGTGTTAGCAGAATATTAAAAAGAAAGGCGAATTACCATTTAAATATACATAATATATATTTATATGATTTAAATTTAAAAAATAAAACCAAGTATTTTATTCAAAAATTATTGGTGAATCGTATACAGAATCGTATACAGAAGAAAAATCGACAAAATTGACTTTTTTTTCATTACAGCGCCATCTATTACAAATATGAAAATATGTTTTAGACAAAATGTACCTATTTTTAGTCGAATGATCCGACTTCTGCAATAAAAAATAGGGTGTTCCATTAGAAATTTTAAAGTTACCCTCTGTTCCCCCTATAAGGAGGAGAGTATGAGGACCAATTTTAGTACTGATTGATTTCCCCCCTCGAATCATTTAATTTTTATTTTAAACAATTCTTCATAAAATGCATACTAACTGAGATATTTCTAAGTTTCAAGTTAAATGACTCTCCCTGTATTACTGTTAGTTATATCTAGAAATCGACAGAATATTTGCCAAAAAAACTGACAAAATATTTAAAATTGAATTACTAATTTTCAAATATATTACATACCATCTTAATCCAAATAAAGTGTACTTGCAGGAGAAATGCTATATACAGGGTGTCCCAAAAGTCAACGATATCCTTTGAAGGACTAATAGGTCAGCTCATGACTAATCAGAATATCAAAACATGACCTTTTTAAGATATTGGCATTTTTATGAATTTTGTGACACATAAAATCAGTTTTTCGAGTGCCACAACCAGAACATTCTATATTCTTAGATTATATTTTATTTTGCGTAACCCTAAATAGGACTGCTATTAATTACAATTCAAAATTAAATGAATAGTAGATTTTGTAGCTGTGGCACTCGAAAAACTGATCTAAGGTGTCAAGTTTTACAAAATTCATAAAAATTACTATATCTCAAAAACTAACGATTTTGTACTAAGGTCATATTTTGATTTTCTGCTTAGTCATGAGTTGGTCTATCAGTCCTCCAAAGGATATCGTTGACTTTTAGGACATCGGTGTTTGGATCAACAGTTTAACATTCAATATTTTCTTGGATTTAAATGAACTAGGTATATATAGTTAGTTTAAATCCAAGAAAATATTTAATTTATTTAACCGCAAAAACTGTTGATTCAACATAATTTTTCTCTAAGTGTACGAACGTGGCGCAAAAATGATTATCCAAACACCGTTGGCATAAAAAATCACGACATGATTTTTTGTGCCATCGGTCAATCGCAAACAGCGATGACATAAAAAATCACGACATGATTTTCATTTCTCACGCAGTGACATCCGTATGATATCAGTAAGAATAAAATTTGTGAAAATCACGTCGTATGAATATCACGAATGTTGTCCGGGCACCGCACAACATATGCAGTATTTGTAAGGAGGAAGCTAAAATCTCAACACACTTTAGAGTAAAAAAGATCGCATTATTAGTACTTAACGTACAACTTTGATCTTTTTTAGATGTCTCCACAACACGCAGCTCAGGGGACAACATCCCCGACAAACAACCGCACCGGAAGCATTAGCAACATCATAAACAATAACAACAACATCAACGTATCGCCTGCACCGCCCCCTCACGGAATCGGCCCGAACCAGAAAGGTTGGGCGGCCACCTCCTTGAGACCGGCGCCACCCCTGAGACCCACACTCGCCTTGGGCTCGCACAACGAACCCCCCTACATCAGGTACAACAGCAAACCGGCCGATACGCAAGAAGACGGACTGATATTCGATTTAATCGAGACGTATTACGCGCTGGCCAAGCCCAGGCACACTGTTAACTCAGGTGAGCCTCTCAAAATGATTTCCTAAAATTCTATTGGTTGGTAATATTTAGTACTTCCTACTCCCCAACAAAATAACCCTTGGTTATGCTAAATATGCATATTTACCAAGTATGAAGCTAAATACACATTTTTGAGTCTGGTCCTTAGACTATTATAATTATAATTATTACATATATACACACTATGGACGACGCTTTTTAATGTTAATATTATTTATTTATATACGCTAAAAAAGTATCGGGTTTTCGCAACGCGCGCGCCATCTGGTGGACTTCGATAGCATTGTGTGAATTTAGGAATTGTCAACAATACACTTAAAGCATATGAACTGTACATCATTTTTAAATAAATAGGAAGATTTTTCACAAAAGAGAGAAAGGCAGAAGTCTTACTCGACAAATTTTGTTCGATTACACAGCTAAATCGCGCACGTTATTTGTGTTTTACGTTGCAAGGAAAAAACTAAAAAACTGGTTTAGTACTCGATTTCGATTGATTATTCTTTATATCATTGATTAAGAAACTCTACGTTTAAATGCTTATATAGTTACATTAGTGTGTGTATTTTATCTAAGGGATCATGGTGAATTATTGTGTTTTTGATTGTAAATAAAATTCAAGAACTAAATCGTTGCATTTTCATGTTTTGCCAAAGGATCCAATTCGGTAAGTACATTTGTTGGTGCAGAATTAACTAATGATAACTTTACCTAATATAATTTATATTTAAGTTTGGACATTTTTAAGAAATTAGTAAAATATAATTTTTGTAAAAACATAACCATAAACTCAACCATTTTTATATTTCAGTTTTCTGAAAAACGCCGACAACTGCATTTTAAACAACAAAATATACCTACGAATTCATGGCAACATAATATTATATATAATACATAATATAATGGTATTTTTGCGTTGAGTGAAGACTTTCTTAATCAATGCTTTTAATAATGCTAAATGCTGTTTAAATTTAGACGACTTATTTGTTTGACGATTTTTACTGATTTGAAATTTTTACATTTTTTACGTTAATCGTTACTAAAATGTGTATTTATTGTATCTAATAGATACAATTTATATTTACAGGGACCCTATGAAATTTATTTCTTCATTCGGATTAACACTGTTTATTGGAAAACCGATAAAAACTCATCCCAGGATTTCCTCTCAAAATACAAGTTATCATTAGTTAATTCTGCACCAAAAAATGTACTTACCGAATTGGATCCTTTGGCAAAACATGAAAATGCAACGATTTTGTTCTTGAATTCTATTTACAATTAAAAACAAAATAATTCACCATGATCCCTTAGCTAAAAACACACACCTACGTAACTATATAAGCATTTAAGCGTTGAGTTTCTTAATCAATGATATAAAGAATAATTAATCGAAATCAAGTACTAAAGCAGTTTTTGTTTTTTTTCCTTACAACTTAAAACACAAATAACGTTCGCGATTTAACTGTGCAATTGAACAAAATTTGTCGAGTAAGACTTCTGCCTTCCTCTCTTTTGTGAAAGAACTACCTATTTATTTAAAAATGTTGTACAGTTCGTATGCTTTAAATGTATTGTTGACAATTCTTAAATTTATTCAATTTTTTTTTTTTTTTAATATCACAAATTATTTTCCATTGGAATTATCTTGCGCCATTCTGGTGAGGTTGGTGAAGCTGGAAATTTTGGCGATGCCACCAACATTCAGCTTCAATCTGTACTGGTTCACCATTTTCTTTTTCAACTTGTCAGGAACCACCATTATTGTGGTGGCTGTGTTACCGATGAATAGCACTATGAACAATACTATTATGGCGGGAACATGCCAGGTGAAGTCGTAGTATCTACATAGATTGATCAATCTGAAAGCGTTGGCTAGTTGGATGAAGTAGGCTATGAAGAGGAATGGTAGCAAGAAGGATAGACCCCTCCACATCCATTTGTGGAACCCTTCGATTGTTATATCCATGGTATTATCTCTTTTTCCTAAGGCTTTAAGTCTATATAATTGACCTTTTTGGTATTGGAATAATAGGTATTGAACCAAGCACACATAGATATTGTAGCAGTAAAACTGGTATCTAAACGTTAACCATATTTGATCGCTGGGCCATGTAAGTAGTATGGCTGATAAAGCTATGGAGAAGAGGTGGTGGACCCTCCACCATCCTCTGATTTTGGAGCCGTTTACCTTCAGAATGGTCTCACGAACTGTCAGTGTACAGTAATACCAAACCAAAAAGAAAAAATATAGTAGCTCTAAAGGTCTAAAGTACACCTGTAGGTTTATTAGTATAACTATAAAGCAAGCTATGTGGGATATCAACTTGAACTCCTCAAAATCATCTTTGTAACGAAGTTTGGCCTCTTTGTTTAGAAATGAGACATCTACATTACCCAAAATTACTCTTAGGTAGGTAGCGCCGAGTCTTGGTAGGGTGGTTTCTATGTTCTGTAGGTCTTCTTCTCTTTTTAGCATGTCGTTTTTCAACTCCTGTATTTTGGTGTCGTTTTTACGCGATGCTTTTGAAGTCCACCAGATGGCGCGCGCGTTGCGAAAACCCGATACTTCTTTAGCGTACATATGGTTTAAAACAGACAAAAAATGTTTTTAATTCCCGAAATTTGAGTTATGTTGCTTGCGATACTTTGGCAGGAAGTCATGCTAAATAAACGTAATAAGGATATTTTGAACTACGCAAGGGGCGCAAAGACAATCATGTGTTAAATATAATCTGCGAATTCTTAAATCAGGTTATTAGCCACCATAATTTACAGTGTGCATTGTCAAATTAAACACATTGTGCTCGAATCGGAAACTTTTTTTTCTAACAAGCAGGGCACCCATGGGGATTACCTAATTCGAATACGCTTAATCCAATAGTACAAGTCGCTTTTTTAGGTTAGCTCTTGTTTTCGAGATATTTTAGATTTAAATTGTAGATCCAAGCATCACAAAAAAACATTATTTTGTTCATTTTAAAAATCATTTACTAATTATAAATTGATAAAAATCGATGAATTAAATGTATAGACAGATACATATTGAAAAGAAACTGTTAAAAAAATTAATTTGGTCGATGTTGTAGTGTTTTTTATAATTTTTTTTTCAAAGGTTTTCATAATTTTTTATAAATACAGTATTAAACGTACTAAAATGTTTGGAATATGGCCCTGATTGCCAAGTAGTCTTTCTTATGTTTTTTATCAATGATAACTTCTACATCCAAGAATTATATTGCAAAAAGAAACATTGTTTATACACACTGTTTATATAAACAACGATCAGCGGCAATGGATCTCACTTTAAATTTTAAACAATGACAGATTACGTGGTAACCATAGATACCGTCAACTCACCCGTCACAGGTTTCTTGATACAAAATATTATTTAAAATTTTAGAAATTGTTAAATATTTCTTAAATTATTAACTTTAGGTATAGGGAATAGTAAAATTAAACGAAAGGTTTTTTAATTTACTATTTGATTAGGTAAAAACACACTGGTTGTTACATTTGAAATAAAAAAGTTATTAACCTTTCAAGTTACCCTAATTTGCCCTGGGTTTTCTCAAGTGATTTGTTAAAAAATGTAAAAGAATTTTCTTTTAAACAATGTTTTAAGATTCCAAAAATTCCAACCTCATATTTGCAAACCTAATAAAAAAAATTTATAGACTTCTTTGATTGACGCGCAATTGTCAAATTTTAACAAAAAAAAAATTAATAACCCTAAAACTATTCACTATTATAGTACAATAATACATAAGTAGGTATAGGACATGGCTTAGTAATTTTAATCAGAATTTTATGTATAATTAAAAAATGTAAAAATATATGGGGTGTTTTATTTAAAATAACAAAGTTGATGTCACTTCCGGATAAACCGGATGTAGCATTTTGTTAAAAAATATTTTAGAAAAATATAGTTAAATGGATTATAAACGCTTTTAAAATTTCAAATCGATATCTTTTTTCGTTCTAACTTCTAACGGACCGCGTATGTGAAATACCCTGTATATATATATATATATATATATATATATATATATCTGTTTTCATAAATTTTAATTCAATAAATGATCTAAAAATGGGGAAATGTTTTTTTTGTGGTTGTAGGGTCTAAATTTATATCTAAAATATCTCGAAAACAAGAGCTAACCTAAAAAAACGATTAACACCATTAGATTCAGCGTAATTTGGTCCCTTGGTGCCCCGCTTGTTAGATTTTTGAACTAGCACAGTGGCATTATTAAATAAACAAGTGATAATGAAATTCTATTTGTGTGCATATGTATATTTAGCATAACTGTGTATCTAGCCTCCTAAACTGTGTACTTTGTTTCATCTATCCTCTATCTATGTCTGTCTTTGGTGGTGGTGGTGGTTCGATGACTCGCAGTGGATCTGTTAACCGGCGGTAACGTACAAATGCATGACAAACTGGCACGCAGTCACCGTTCCAGCTTGGACTTGAGCCGCGCGTCCTCTGCGACGACCTTCGGCGCTGCTACTGCGCAGCAGCAGCAGCCGCTAAACGCGCGACTCTATCGGCCGCACGGGCCGCGCGCCTCCACTTGGTGCTGCGGCTCGTTCGTCGTCCGGCAGCTGCGCAGAACGCAGCACTACGAATGAATGGCGTGTCGTTTGTGTTTCGTGCTTTTTGTATCAGAGTCAATCCATATATGAAAACGCAGAAACTCGATGCTCGACCATCTTGGATTTTGCTCAAATTTTACAGAAATATTCATTAGGGTCTCAAAGGACAAAATACACCCTTATTTAATTTTTCGCATGTGTCAAATCCGGCCTAATCGAATTAAAACTCTTTAAAAACGTCAATAATTTAAGCTGTAATTTTTTTTCTATTAATAGTAGAGATGCGACTTAAAAAATGGTTTTTTTTCACATTTTAGGTTTTTTTTCAAGATTAGTCCTATTTGCCTAATTTTTTATGTTTTCATGGACTAAAATTAGCCACTAAATGACAATTATTAAATGTAAATACAGTCTCGCGTTAGGCACTCGCCACAACCACCGATTTGACCAATAAGGGCCGCGCTTATTTTGATTTGGTCCTAAAAAAGTAACTACATATAATATTTTTGATTCAGCGCTTAATTTTTCAAGAAGCTACCAAAAGCACTTTTTTCATGATTTTTCAAATTTATGTTGAGTATGGATTTTTTTTTTAAAACAATAGCAAATTCTTGTAGAACATTTATTCATTGGTGGTCAGAAAAATTCCGTGAACCAAAAAAAAAATCGATTTTTTTTTATTACTGTATTCGTTAGAATTGAGCGTTGCACGTTTTTCATTTAAAAATCTCAAAACTATAAACAAGCTTCAAATTGCTTTTTTTACGGCTCCAATACGACCATTTTTAACAAATATACAGCTATCCGAAAAATCGCAAAAAAATTTGTATCCTTTAATTTTTTGTATTACCTATTGGTTTTTAATGTGGAAACTACCAAATAATAAGAAATCAGATTTTTTAGTCTTCGTCAAAATTTTTAATAATGAAAAATGTAATATATTCTACATTTTACTCAAAATTTCATTTTGAAAAAAAAACAAAAAAAACCGTTTTTTTTTTAGTTTTTTTTTATGTTTTTTTTTCACATCTGAAAAAACCGTTTTTTTACATCTCTAATTAATAGTATATTATGTATCAAATTTGATAAACGCCATTTTATACACGAATTTAATTTAAATTAATGAGTGTATAGAAAAGTTTATAAACGAGGTGCATACTATACTTTTTCTACGACAAATACTTATTATTATCTTAAAATGATTTAAATCAAAAATTCGTATAGAGCGCCATCTATGAAACAACAGGGGAAACTGTCAAATGTCACATTTTTACATTTTATAAACACAATTATAAAGGTTATAAATCGAAATGTATCTTGAAAATTGACAGTTTTTCACAGTGAAAGTAAAGGAAATGTTTTATGAAGACTTTACAGTAGAGTCCGTGCCCGAATTTAAGTTATAGTTTACTGCCGGCGAAATTAAAAGGTCAGTACAATGTTCATATATACTTTTCAAATATTTGCGTTGAGAAACTATTTAATATTTTTGTATTTTTGTATTGAGATAATCAAATAATTTTCACATTTAGTATTATTTTACAAGAAAGGCACTTTATTTTAACGATTGTATGACATTTGACAACTGTCAACTAACTTAAAACTAACTTCAGCCCGTGACTAAAGCGCCATAAAGCCACAACTTGTCAATGTGTATTTAAAAGGTCACTTAGTGTCATGGAAACATGTACGATAAAGGGCGTTTTAAAGGTGGAAGTAGAAAAAGATATTTTAAATTTTAAGATGTCATTTTAAAGCTAAAAAATAGTGGTTTTTATAAAAAAAATATAAATTTACTCAATCAATATTTCCAAATAATTACACGGTGCTGAAAAAACGTGTATTTTACTAATTTTTCGTGTTTTTTAAATGCGTCCCATGTCGCGGCTGTTTAATATGAACAGCAAATTTTTTTCATATATATATATATATATTAAGTTTACATACCAAAGACAAAATAAAACTTCAATTGACCCGTTTGGCATACGGTTTCCAAAAAAAAATGCTTGAAATTTTAAAATTCTAGAAAATCGCATTATTTAGGCTATTATATAAGGATACTGACTTCCAAATAGAATTATGAAATTTACAGGATAATTAGCTCCTACCTTAATGTTAAAATGCCTGGTAGTTTGGTTTTGTTATTTTTATCTTTAAAGGCTATACAGTAGCTTTAAAAGGAGAAAAATATTGAAATAATAAAAAGTCGCATTATTTCATGAATGGATGCATCCATTAAGTATGTTGACTTTAATATAGAAATATGACATTAACAGGATATTTATTCCTTACCTTGAAAATGAAATGCCTGTTTGACTTGTTTTGATATTTTCATCCATTTTGCTTTTACATGGGCTTTAAAAAAGGCTAACACAAGAAAAATTAAAAAACGCAAAAATTTTTTCCTTTACAAAAAAAAATGTTAACTTCTAGATAGAAATATAAAACTTACAGGAAATTTAGTCCCTATCACAAAGTTTAAAAGCTTGTATAGCTCATTTTGCTTTTTTGTGATTGTACAGATGCTTTAAAAGCAGCAAGAATATAATACAATTTTAAAAATTTATATGCATAGGCATGCATAAGCCAAACAGGCATTTAAACATCATAGTAAGGACTAAATATCCTGTAAGTTTCATGTTTCTATCTTGAAGTTTTTTAAATTTCAATATGTTTGCTCCTTTTAAAGCCCAAGTAAAAGCAAAATGGATGAAAATATCAAAACAAGTTAAATAGGCATTTAAACTTCTAACTAGATATCCTGTTAATTTCAAATTTCTATATTTAAGTCATAAAATGGATTAAATAATGCGACTTTTTATTATTTCAATATTTTTCTCCATTTAAAGCTACTTTAGAACCTTCAAAGATGAAAATAACAAAACCAAACTACCAGGCATTTAAATATTAAGGTAGGGGCTAATTATCCTGTACATTTCATAATTCTCTTTGGTCAACATCCTCATATAATGGCCTAAATAATGCGATTTTCTAGAATTGCAAAATTTCAAGCAATTTTTTTTTTGGAAACCGCATGCCAAACGGGTCAATTGTAAGTTTTATTTTGTCTTTGGCATGTAAACTTAATATATGAAAAAAATTAGCTGTTCATATTAAACAGCCGACACGAGAGGCATTTAAAAAAAACACGAAACATTATTAAAATAAACGTTTTTTCAGCACAGTGTAATTATTTAGAAATATTGATTAAGTGAATTTATATTTTTTTATTAGAACCACTATTTTTTAGCTTTAAAATGGCATCTTAAAATTTCAAATATCTTTAATAGAAAAAAATTACAGCTTAAATTATTAAAGCATAAAAATGACGTTTTTAAAAAGTTTTAATTCGAATAGGCCGGTTTTGACACATGCGAAAAATTAAATAAGGGTGGATTTTGTCCTTTGGGACCCCAATGAATATTTCTATTAAATTTGAGCAAAATCCAAGGTGTTCGGGCAACGAGTTTCGGCGTTTTCATATGGATTGACTCAGATGGTTTGGCTAATGTTAAAATGTTTTTGGTTTTTTGGCTTACAGTGAGTATCACGACAAAACTTAGACTAATATTGACAAGGAAGCTGTTATATCTTTTTTTAAATGACGATAGTATTTCTACCATCAATTATAATAAGTAAAAAATTTAAAAAGCTTTTATATAAACAAATTTTACTGCTAAAAATAACAAAAGTTCCTATAAACCTTTATTAAATGAGTTTCCCTTAACATATTCACTGGTGATCTGGATGGCATAATATGGCATCATATTATGATGATTTTTTTTTTCAAAACGCAATCTGTAAAAATATTTGGAAAATTGGTATTTTTTAAAATCAAAAAAAAAAAGTTTCACGATAAAGTTATTCTGATAAAGTTTTTGGTGAAACTTTTTACAGTTAACCCTATCCAAAAAAAAAATCCAAGATTACCATTTTTTCATAAATTTAGTGCTGAACACGGTGGTCAAAACTAAAGTATAGGACGAACAAAAATGCCAACCAAAACTGATAGCATAATCTGATTATAGACTCTTTTGGTAACACAAAAATGTATTTTTCAAAATCCCAGCTGATCCTTTATTAAAGTTTTGCATATTTCTTAGTATTTTAAAATTGTTTATGCCTTTTCGATAAAATACTCTACTACCATTATCAAATGTTTTTAAAAATTTGGGAGATACATGACTGAAATATGGATAAATTACATTATAAATACAAAATAATGTAAAATACAGATTGCAATATCTTTTTATTGTTTTAAGGTACCTAATACAAAACTAATAAATAACTAAAGATTCTTTGAAGCAAAATCGATTACTGCTTGCCTTAAATTTTCAGTAAAACTGTTTCTTGGGTTTTACATGGAATTGTTTTTAACATGGAAAAAGTATTTTTAAATTTTTCAGTCTCTGTACAAACATGCTTCTTACATCTAGCGATATCCCCTAGAAAGGAAGAGCATATCAAAACTTTAGTTCGTTCGTCCGTCTTCTTCCCTTAATAATTTTTTATGCCCTTTATATCTTGCCATTTTGCAGATAAAGCACATACATTCTTGGCTGCCGCGAAATTCTCTAGCAATTTCTAAATTTTGAAAATTTGGCAATTGTGGCTATGCGATATTGAAGTAGGTAATTTTGAATCACATAAGTTAAAGTGTTCGTTTAAAAAAGTGTGCAGTAATTTTTATATTTTCTCAGAAACCCTAAACTCTGAATTTTTCGATTACCGAAAACAATTTTGTCTCCACAGCCATCACATACCTTCTTTCGATTTTCTTCATGGCTTAACTTGAATTTCGGTTTAATTTTCATTTTAAAATACTATTTTTAACTTTATAAAGTATACATATATTTAATATTAAAAAAACACTAAAGCAAAATGTTACTTGCGTTATAACGTATAGCAATTTTTTTCATAACCACCTTAATTATTGTTTTACAAAATGCAAGTTGTAATTATTTCATAGACAAACTTCCAGTATTTTTTGTTATAAAAAATATTTAAGATATAAATCTTCGTTTTTTTTTGTTATGTTTTGTTTTGAGTGGTAAAAAATAATAGGTGACTCAATAAATTAATACTGGGGAGTAAAGTAATTTAAATGATACAAAGTTTATTATTTTGCTTAATTTTATTAAAATTGTCTAGGTAGTTTTGTACAATAATTGCAAAATAATATAAAGAAATAGAAAAACAAAAAAGTTTGCAAAACTTTAAAATAGGATCAGCTGGGATTTTGATAAATACATGTCAGTGTTACCAAAAGGGTCTATAATCAAAATATGCTATCAGTTTTGGTTGGCATTTTTGTTCGTCCTATATAAGTTTTGACCACCGTGTGAAGGACTATTTTCCAAAAGCTCATTATATATGCCAAAAAATTAATCCTTGTAAATACCGAGTTTATGTGGAAGGGCTGACATTTTTCCTGTAAGTCTTATCGTTTATGAAAAACAGCAAAAACAACAAATTTATAACATTGTGTGAGTTACAGACTGTAACTTACAGGGGGCATTTTGTATCATTTAATTCTTAGCAAAACGCTTTAAAAAACGGTAGCATAAAACGTTATAAAAATAAAGAAAAAAGCAAATAAAAGTTTACGTGTATTTTTAATGGAAAATCTTTCTACGCTAATGAAAAGTTCACTCACAGGCAAAATAATCGATCCACATAAATTTTCGATGAATTTCAAAAATAACTTTTTTATTTGGTTTCGGATTTAAACGAATATTGAAGAATATTGTAGATAAATTAATGGAGAATCGCTTACATTTTAAAAATTTACTAAAAAATAGACGTATGTTTATAATATACAGGTTTAAACAAAAAGATGTTTTCTACCATAAGACACTCTGTACAGTGGTATATTGTTCTAAATTAAGTTTTAATTATCAAGCCACGTCTATTCTTAACAGTTTTGTTTTTGGTTCACCTCGATATATTTATTTATGTGGAAAATATAAA